TGCGAAATGGATTTTGGAATTCCTAGGAATTCCCAACTATAACAACTCTGGCTCTAAAAACCAAGAAATTCCCAAAAATTCCCAGAAATTCCAAGTTTATAGCTAACAGGACGTGGAATTCCTAGAAATTCCTAGGAATTCCAACTCAGAGCACCAATGACTTTCCCTGAAAAGCTGTAAATCTAAAAAATTCCCAGGAATTTTCAGGAATTTCTAGCAATGTTTGAGAATTACTGGGAATTTTAAGCAAAAATTTGAGGATAATAATATAAAATAAATACTAAAAATTAAAAAATCCCAGCTAAAATTCAAGTATTCAATGAAATTTATTTACAAGCTTAATTAAGGTTTACATGTAAAATATTTTTGTATGTTAACGTCAACATGTGGTAATATTAGGATGGAATTTGATTTATTTTTCTTTTCTTGAAAACTTCATATGAATTAATCCTCAATTACAGCTATTCATGTAGAATAGTCCTAATCAATCATTAAATTTGGTTAGACAAAAATTGTGAATAAAACCTGCTGATTCTTTTCCATAAAATACAATATCTTAAATTGTATTTATTGCAATAAATACTATCAGTCTAAAAATAGTCTAAAAATTGATCATTTAGTTTTGGATGATGCTACAAATGGTATTTAACCCTTTCACTCCCAGAGACAGGCTTTGACTTGATTTTATGTGGTTGTAACTTATTTGGATAAAACTCTTGTGTGTGAACATTCAAATGTACGCTGTCAGGCAGCACTTTCATATTTTACTCTTTATTTTCGTTGATTCTGCACATTGAAATTCAAAGATTTCTTCTCAAATTTTGACCTAGCACCCTTGGGAGTGAAGGGGTTAATTACAGTTAAATATAATTGATTTTTTAATTAAAATCTTGTTGTAACTGTAACAATAAATTAGAATGAAGTTATCCTAAACTGCAGACTTAGCTGCTGTTTTTCTTTTTTTCCTGGGCTCACAGCTTTCCCTGTTAGCCTTGAATGAGGTTGTCTACAAAAAGCTTGACCATTTTGTATCTGGATTCCATGCCGTCTGAATTTGAAAAATATATATATATATACCTATATACATAAGTTAAAGAATTAAAGAGGACACATCGATTCTCTGTGACTCTGAGTTTCGCGCCTAAGTGCTCGTCAGACAGAACTTTTCACAGAGAATTGATGCGTCCTCTTTCATTCTTTAACTTATGTATACTTAGCTCTGCTACCACAGCATTGAGCACTTTATGCCAAGGTAGACTCTACCCCACATTCATTTATATACCTATATATAAATATATATTAAAAGCTCAGACAATGCCTTAGATAGCTATAAGGAAAAGGGCCTTCATTGGAATCTCAATTTAACAAAGTGCACTGGGATTGGGAAATCTCTATTATATTGAATGACTTTTATATTGGAGTTAATACATCTCTCCCCAGATTTTACTGAAAAAGGGCTGAATACAGTATTTTGTTTTTACCAAGGAGGGCTTCTTTATGTAATAAGGTTTATTTAATCACAGTTTGCATTATGAATCTTGAATGTTACCAAAACGCGACTAAAGTAATCTTGAAACCTTACTGATAGATTTCATCGTAAAGCAGAAGCTTAAGAAACTGCAGCATGCAAGTGACCGATTCGATTCTCAGAATTATTCTAGTTTCAGTTGCGCCGAGCGTTATGTAAGCTTAATTCAAGCCGTTATATCTATTCTTTGATAAGATTTTGATCACGTAACGAATATCGCAATTTTTACTCACGACAAACTTTCAAAATCGTAGCTCTATAAATGGCCACTCGACCCTTGTTTCTACCAGTCAGTATGTCAACTGTTTTCCGTTCTTTTAACTCCACGGCGCCAACGACTTTCTTTTCATTTACAACACTCACGCTGTTCTCGTTTTCCCATTGAACCACAATAAAACCTTTCTTGAGAAATGTTAAAGCGGAGCTTGCAGAGCGTAGCCCCACAGTTATTAGTGGAGCTCGCAGAGCGTAGCACCACAGTTATACAAAATGATAGTAGTAACCCATCAAGCCGAAAAAATTTGGACTAACGACCGTACGACCGTACGACCGTACGACCGACCGTACAAGGTGCTACTTTTAACATGCGTGGTCAACTGTACCGCGGGCACGCCAACGCCACGGCTTTGTCCAGTAGTCCAGTGGTCAGTGCACCGGGCTCCGAGTCGGACGACCCGAATTGCTTGGTTGAATTTTAGAATTCAAACTATTTTCACAAAACCACAACTCACCAACGTGCAAAAAGATATATCAAAACACAAAGAGCAGGAAAAAAAAGGAAAAAAGCCACATTGGAAGTAGTCAGTCTGTAAATATTTGTGGGCAGTAAGCACAAAAAAGGGAGATATTAATATGGTATTAATAGTGAATGGGAAATGAGGATGGGCAGCATCTCTTGGAACTTTCTTGCCATCAACCTGCAAATCCAAATTATCACAGAAAAACTGTAAGCCCTCTTCATTACCACAAAGTATATTTATTATCAAATTTAACTAAAAATTATTTAAATCACAAAAGCCTTACACCATCAGATGTACAGTGTGACGCCATTGTCTTGCTTACTTAGACTAGTTCCTCTTTCCTTATCTATATATTCATATAGTTAGCTCTTTGAATTTGGTATTGGATCAAATAGTAATTTCCTCGGTAATGATTTTCGTTATTCTTATCACTGCTCTCCTTGAGATTGTACTGACACTGCAAGAAGAAATCAACTTTTTTTCAGGCCTTATTTCAACTACTAGTTGGGTAGTGTTCATAACTGCGAGGATCGTTTATATTCGTCTCTTCAACCACAGTGCATATGATTTTCATATACCAGTATTTACAAACATGTAGAAATCAGTTATTGGTCACTCCCAGGAGTGACCAAAAGTGAGCGAATGAGTGAGGTAAACAGATCATTCATTTTCATGCATACTATTCCTGAAAATTTTCCAACATCTCTACTATGAAAGTTACAGGCTTAAATCCTAGACCCCTGAGAGTTAAAAACATCTAAATTCTCCCAACAATATCACAGCTGAACCAAACATTGTAGTTTGATGAGAATAAAGAAAAATCAGCTTCAGATTTCAACACATATTATACCTGACTGTGTATTTAACCTGGATCAGTTTTGTAAATTTACTTGATGAGTAACATATGTTAAATTTTAAATCATTATTTACATGTATGTCATGGCCCCTGTTAATTTCCTATTCTGAGGCCATTTTGCAGTTATAGATCTTAAGGCCTGAGAGACTTTGAGAAAAGAGGACAACATAATGTTCACATGTATGTTGATTTAGAGCTGTTATTGCTGAGTGTAGGAAGATGGATGGGTTAGCCTTCCAGCAAATCATTCATTAACCTTTTGACCTCTATGAGAGACTAGCATCTAATTTCTCCTTACAATATCACCCCTAAATCACACATTAAGGTCATGAGAATAAAGGAAATGATCAACAACTAAAGAAGCTCTTGATTGTTAAACAGATTCTCCTTGTCGGCACCTTAAGAAATGTATAGAGAACAGTATGGGGAAAATACAAACTGATGTTTGGTTGTAAAGGTTAACTCTAGAAAAAAATTATTTTTTTAAACCTGTAGCTAACGGCGTAATTTCTTCCAGTCGGTGATATATATACTGTACGATTTTATGCCAGCAACTAACGGCAAAATTTCATCCAGTCGGTAATGTATATACTATAAGATTTTACGCCGGTAACTAACGGCGTAATTTCTTCCAGTGGGTATGGGGTAACTGGTCAAGTCGCCCGAGAGTCATCTCGCCCGAAGTCATGTCGCCTGAAACCTGAGTCATGTTGCCCGAAATTTTAGTAATGTCGCTCGAAAAAAAAAGTCAAGTCGCCCGAAGAAACAAATACTAAAACGATCTGAATTTCAGACGGTTAATAGGCAATAACGTTGAGAAATTTTTATCACTAAGGCGCTCTTTGTTTCTGACAACACCATAAAGATTCTTAAGGGGTTGTTCGTTCCTAACAACAAAGGAAAACGTTGTTCGTTTCCAACAACAAAATGAAGCGTTGTTCGTTTGGTATGTAATCGTTTCTTACTCACGGACGTTTCGTAAGCTTGAGAAACTTTTTCTTGGTTTCTAACAATACCATGAAGACTTTGACTACACGGAAATCGATCGTATGCTCGGAATTGAAATATGTTTGAATAACGATTCTAAAAGCGTTGTTAGTTTCTAACAACAAAGGGAAGCGTTCTCCGTTTCTAACAAAAAAATGAAGCGTTGTTCGTTTGTTATGTACTCTTTTCTTACTCACGGACATTTCGTAAGCTTGGGAAACTCTTTCTTGTTTCTTAAAATGCCATGAAGACTTTGACTAAGATTTTACGATTTTTACGCTTAAGTATAAAACTTCGCGAATATCAGTTAAATTAGGAATTTCTTTTGTCATTTAGATTATAATTTTAAGTGTAAGACTGAACACGGTTTTTTAAGATTCTTTTTTTTTCCTCTGAGGCCCTTTCGTAGGTTATCATTTTGTGTAATCTACATTCATAGTTTAAATAACTTTTTTCCTCCAGAGTTTTTTTATTTAATTATGTAAATTAAAATGTTGTGAAATTATTCCATAGCAATGTAACTCTTTCAAAAACTGCCTTTATTTACTGATGCAAATAGCGCAAGGTTACCTGTTGGTGAAATCTTCTGCGCAGCCACAAACATTGCTCACTACCCCTCCACGGGCCGTCCTAAACAAGTTTTATTTTTTGCAATGTTAGTTGGTTGCTAGCTATGCAGTATATAGTGTTATTACTTTTCAAAAACGAAGACATAAATTCGCGCTTTATATGTACTATTTCGGCTGAAACCGAGGTTATATTTATGGGGGACTGGTATCAGCCAAAAGAATTTCATAACCAGGACTACTCGATTTTTTTTGAAACCGAAAGCTCTGGGGATGTGCATGCGCGAAAGTAGTCAAAATATTGTCCGTATGGCATAAGGAAGTACCCGAATTTGCGAACGTTAACCAAAGTTATTCAGTTAAATTCCACTGACACGTAAGGAAAAAATTAAAAAGCGACTCAAGACTAAAAAAGATAAGACAAGAGCATGTTTTGATCTGAGGCAAGAGAGCACTTGTCTAAGGTGAGTACGTTATCAGGCGAATGAAGGAAGCAATTAGTAATGCACAAGCGACTTCGGAAAGCAAGAATAAAAAGTTTAACGGAATCAGTCAGAGCTCTAGCCACGAACATATCGCTCCTTTTCGTGGAGCTTAGAACTACATGTAAGGCGAACAATTTTGCATCGTTACAGAGGAAAACGAGAAAAGTGTGGCAATTCGCTTCGCAAAAATTATTCATAAACCTGCAGAAGCGGGTCGTTTAGATCAAATATTAAGATACTTGTTCATCTAAATTTTTGTTTCGAAGTGAAGTTTATTTGCATTATTAGGGTCACCACAAACTCCAATTATCAATGTAGAAACTTAAAATTCTTACATTTTCGCGGTTGAAAAATTGAATAAAAAAGTAGCAAGGTTATGGAAATTGATCCAGCCCTTGTAGACAACTTTCGGTTTTAACCGGAACTTCGGTTGACCTCGGCTAGGCTAGCGTGACATACATTCAGTACTTCCGGTTGCTTCAAGAATACACCCTGAATCCTCGAATGAAAACTTAAATTGAGTTCCTTTCGTTAAATTCATCCAATCCTATATATTGCAGAGGTTCAAGCAATGGGCAAAATCATTTTTCTGCAAATTGTACTATATTTGGTCGCCTGCAATGTCCTTTGCCTCCACGCCAGCGGCCATTCCAGCGAAACATGCTCACAGGAGAATAGCGAGTGTGGAAAAAAGGGATCCAAATGGGTAAGAAAGTAATTAGTCATTACTATTAAATTGAGATTCTATATATTTTTTCCAATATTAGGTTTCTACCTGTTATGATTTTAAGTCAGTCTATGAAGGTCTCAATGGAGTGGCGACTTCTTCGGCGATCGGTTAAAATTTTTTTCCAATAAGCGGCTAACGGTAAACATCTTTCAATCAACGCCAGAATTATTTTTTACGGTTAACTTTCTCTGCGACAAACGGTTAAAATTTGTCAGTTGTTCCGCCTAACGGTTAAATATTTTGGCCGGTTTACGGCTATCGGTTAACCCATTGAGAGCCTCTTGAGTATTTCTTCTGTTCCCATTCAATCAAGTTCCTCTTGCCTTCAAATTTTCTAAAAGTAATAAAATAATTTCCAGCATGAAAATAGGTGGTGTATTAGTGAGCATACAGCAGAACGAATGTTGTGATAAAAACGATATAAAAAAACTATTTTGAAGCATTTAAAAGAATTGATTGAAACTATTAAAAAACAGCACGTAATATATTAAACAGAACTGTATTTTCTCTTTTCAAAACTCTTATGGATTAATAAGTTAGCAAGGTAAATATTTGATTTTTTGGTCTTTTGTTAAATTAAATTTGTTGTAGGTACAAGCGAAGGAACCTAACAGCAACGATTTTCAAAGCATTCCCAGTGAAATCGAGGAAGCGTTAAACGAAGCGTTGCACTCAAAGTCAGCTGGTTTTCCCGAATTCCGAATAAATCCTGATGAGATAATGGCCTTGATGGAAGAACAGAAAGGCAAAAACAAAGACAGTTCCAAAGGTGAATCGGATAAAATATCTCTTGTGACAAAATTGACAAAAGTTGTTACAACCATTCAAAAAGGCATTGAAAAAATAAAAACTAAAGATCCTCTAAAAATTTTTGAGGGTGTTCTTGACATTGTCTCAAGCCTTTTAAACCTGGTTGACGCTGGTAAACCTTACAGCTTTATTTTTCGGATTCTTTCGGAAGCTGTTGGCATGTTTTTCACGGAAAGCAGACAAAATCAGCCAAGCGTGGTACATCAACTGACAGATGTTGTTCACGGTGAGATGATTCACTTTAACAAAAGGTTACAGGATCAGAAATATGACGGACTTAAACTTCGCGTGTCAGAACAAATTTTTCAGCTGCAGCGAATGAAAGAAGGAGAGAAATTAGATGATCCTTCTCTGTGGAATGATTACATGCAATTTTTGGGTGAGCTTGCGAGCAGGTTTGAGTCACCGCTTCCTTTCAAGTATGAAAGCTACCTGATAGACGATCCCGATGTAAAAGATTACGTAACAGCCGTAGTTAAGTACTCTGAAGCTCACTCTTGCTTCATGGCTCTTCTGTTCGCTGCTAAAGCAAAGTATACAGAATTAAGAACCGCGCACGAAGACGACATAGCCACTGTGGACCGTAAAATGACTTTCCAAATTAAAGAAGCAAAAGGGAAACTGTCTTTCCTTTCAGATAGGAGATTTTTGACATTTCTTGGAAGAATTGAGGGCGGAAAACTCACCAAAATTGTGGCTTTAAACCGAATACCTCGTGATCGAAACCTGGTCGAAACCGTTCGACAGAGCTTGGGTTTGTCGCCAATGCCGGATTTTTCAACAATCGAGTCTTCTGCACAGAAAGTGAGTCAACAGGCAGTACCTTTGCGGTCAGTAGAGATTTGCAATTGGCTTCTTTTACAGTACTTTGGCATCAAGTATTCCATTCAGTTTATCAATGAAGCTGACTTTCCGATAAAGATTGTTTCGGGTGAAGTCGGCTGGAGTCAAGGGAACCAACTTCAGTTTGAGAAAATCCTTCCACCTCGTTCATCGTATCGCCGGGAGGCTAATTTCGGCTTCTCTACAGCTGGGTACATATTACTGCATTTAGACGGCGATTCGTCGAGCTCCGATTTGATAAATACCAGAGCTATCGAATTTGCAGCATCAAAACCTTTTTACGAAAGTAAAATAAACATGCAAGACAAAACTGATGGAGAGTTTTTGCGCGGTCTGAATGCCTACAACGAGAGGTCTGAGGACACTGTAACTCTGTACTTTACTGAAAATGGAAAATATTACATTGCCAAAGCTGAGATTTTTGTTTGTTGGCCCTATCGCACTTTTCGATTCATCATTCAAGACTTTAATCCAGAAGCTGTTGGAGATGGAAAACGTTAGGATAGACCCTCTCGTCCACTGACTTCGTTCCCAGGGTCTCTCTTCTACAAACCTCTATTAGGTGGAGTGGGGAGGGTCGGAAATGAGAGACCCTGTCATGGGAGGGAGGGAGGGAGACACGAAATTCAGAAAATTTAGAAAATAGAGCCAAAACAGTTGTTGCAAGAGTGCAATATATCTCCTACCTTTCCCCACAAGACTTTGATCGATACTTTTAGTTTATTTGTAGACTGAGCTTTCTGTGAAGACACATGTTGAAATTCCATATTTTATTTATTAATCATAAAACTATATGAGAAAATACTTCATTTGAAAATTGCTTGGTTGAATTTTAAAATTCTAACTATTTTCACAAAACCATGTTTAAGTATTTAGTATCTTTCCTGAGCTACTCTGCATGTTAAGCTTTGAACACCAGAATTTCATATCACAATTTTGACTCTTAAATGCTTTTGAAACACCTGACAAAAATTCTTTAAACCAATTTTCACCTCACTAACGTGCAGAAAGATATATCAAAACACAAACAAGGAGGAAAAAAAAAGGGAAAAAAGGCCACAGTAGAAGTTGTCAGTATGTAAATATTTGTGGGCAATAAGCACAAAAAAGAAGAGATATTAATATGGTATATTGAATGGGAAATGAGGATGGGCAGCATCTCTTGGAACTTTCTTGCCATCAACCTGCAAATCCAAATTATCACAGAAAAACTGTAAGTCCTCTTCATTACCACCAAGTTTATTTATTATTTTATTTAACTCAAATTACTTAAATCACAAAAGCCTTACACCATCAGATGTACAGTGTGCATATTTAATAAATATAATATAATATAATATATAGTTAGCTCTCTGAATTTAGTATTGAATCAGGTAGTAATTTCCTCAGTAATGATTTTTGTTATTCTCATCACTGCTCTCCTTGAGATTGTATTGACACTGTGATAAGAAATCAATTTTTTTTCAGGCCTTATTTCAACCACTAGTTAAGTAGTGTTCATAACTGCAAGGATCACTTATATTTGTTTCTTCAACCACAGTGCACATATATGATTTTCATATACCAGTATTTACAGTCATGTGAAAACCAATTGTAGGTCACTCCCAGGAGTGAAAGAGCTAAACAGATCATTCATTTTCATGTATACTGTTCCTGAAAATTTTCCAACATCTCTACTATGAAAATTACAGGCTTAAATCCTAGACCCCTGAGAGTTAAAAACATCTTATTTCTTCCAACAATATCACAGCTGAACCAAACATCGTAGTTTGATGAGAATAAAGAAAAATCAACTTCAAATTTCGACACATATTATACCTGACTGTATATTTAACCGGGATGAGTTTAATAAAATTACTTGATGAGTAACTTAGCTCAAATTTTAAATCATTATTTACATGTATGTCATGGCCCCTTTTACTTTCCTATTCTGAGGCCATTTTGCAGTTATAGATCTTAAGGCCTGAGAGACAGTGAGAAAAGAGGACAACACAATGTTCACATGTATGTTGATTTAGAGCTGTTATTGCTGAGTGTAGGAAGATGGATGGGTTAGCCTTCCAGCAAATCATTCATTGCAGAGATTCCAACCCCATGTGATGGAAAATAGGGAGTAATTATTAGTGCCAAAGGCGCGAGCTTCTAGGGGGGTCAGGGGGCATGCGCCCGGGAAATTTTGCAAATTTAGGTTCTCTCAAGTGCCATTTCCTGAATTTTGACATCATTCCGGCCTGAGTTATAACATACCATAATGCTCTTCACGAAGAAAGTAAGTATAATATGAGTGTTTCACAGTGACAGATCGCCAAAAATTCTAAAGATTAGCAATTTTCCCCTAGTTTTCAGAATTTTATGATAAATCGGGAGAATTTGGTAAAAATCGGGAGAGCGGGAGGCAAGACATCAAATCGGGAGACTCCCGATCAAATCGGGAGGGTTGGAATCTCTGCGATTGCGTAAAAAATACTTAACATAATAACATTATACACAAAAAACACGGGATTTTGGATCATGTATTTATTAGAAAAGAATATCCGCACAACTAAAATGAACACAAACATAAGATTCACCTTTCTGATCGTGAAATTAGTACGATTCGCACTGTTATCGTAGCTACGTTCCCTGGCATCAAGTGAATCCAACATGGCGTCTTTCTTCACAAGCACAAGCGACTAAATACAGAAATGGCTCCGACCTGTGATTGGATGATAAAAATAGTAAACGTTAATAAGTTATAGCTTAACTCCTTACTCGTGAGTATTGTTTACCGCGTGTCTCTAAGCGGAACAATGAAACATCAATGCTAGTGAAAACACCGAGAAACAAGAAATGTTTACTTACGTAGCGAAGGGAAGGCAGAGCCTTTCTTGCTCTGCGAGGTCGTTCAGCGATATTCCGGCGATGAAAACGTCATCTACTGACTAAACTCATTTAGTCAGTTCAGGCGGACCACCAGAGACTGGAGCCATTCCTGTATTTCACCGCTGACAGGAATAGCTCCGACTCAAACGTTTATTAATTTTTTTTTCAGTAATTTTTTAATAATTTTTAAACAATTTTTTAAAAAAAATTTTAAACAATTTAAAACTAAACTAGTGAGCAGCGCAGTGCGAACAGTAGTTGTAAAACTTCTTTTTTCTCCGACGCGTTTCGTCTAGTTGTCGTAAACTTCTTTAGGGAGTTTACAAGTCAACACCAGACGCCTATATTTATAAGCCATTGTCAGCGGCCATTGCAGGGGCCAATGACCATAATAGGCAAAGCTGTGAAAAATTTGAAAATTTCTTCTGAAAAATTTTTAGGCAAGGTGAGAAATATTTTTGGGAGCCACGGTTTTAGCTAAAAATTTTCAAAATTTGAAGCAGTTTTTTTACAGACGATGCCTGGAAAGTAGTTGGCAAATTAGGTTAGGATGGCTCGTGTACTTTACTGAAAATGTGGTTTATGTTCTACTCATTCTTTCTTAAATTGAAGTGGTATAAATACCTTGTCTAAAACAGTAGTGTGAAACAATAGCAAACGAGATTTACTCGTTCCAATACAGCGTCATGTGATGAACAGCCTTTATTTATTTTAGAACAAGTTTTACAAAATCATTTTACTCTTTCTTGTTATGGCCGAAAACTGTTCGAAGATTGGTTGTACCATCACTGCAGACAGTCAAGGCACTTCGACATGATTCAGTGCGAGAGCTACTGCAACTGGCTTGACTGGTATGACGTTTTTTCGGGTTTGGTTTGTTTTTTTTTTCCTTTTTTTTAGGTCTAGTGGAGTTGTTAGAAATTACCAAGCAAAACCAATCCGCGACTTTCTTCCTTTAGGTGTTGTGCAAAAAAAAAAAGAAGAGCCCGATGAATGGATTTGCTCTTCATGTGAACAATAACCTAGAAAATCAGTTTCCACGAAAAAAAACTCCCTCGATTGTGGCCAAGCCTTATTTCTCCAGCAGAGCATGCTGTAAATTAAAAACATTGGTCTCAGCGTCACGCAACATTGCGTGATTTTCCAAACGTGACATGCAGTTGCTCAACTTAGAAACTATATGGCCCTGTAGTAATAAAATAGGGCTTCATTTGCAAGCACTGTAGACTACAACCTAATAAATCATTCTTTCAGTTTTTATCTCAGTGTATAAATTATTTAGCCAGAACAGAAAAAAAAATTAATATACGAATGAGTTGGAGCCGTTCCTGTCTGCGGTGAAATACACGAATGGCTCCAGTCTCTGGTCGTCCGCCTAAACTGACTAAATGAGTTTTGTCAGCGGATGACTTTTTCATCGCCGGAATATCACTGAACGATCTCGCTGAACAAGATAGACTCTGCCTTCTCTTCGTTATGTCAGTAGCCATTTCTTGTTTGACTCATCGGTGTTTTTACATTGGTATTTCATTGTTCCGCTTCGAGAAACACCGTTAACAATACTCACGAGCAAAGAGTTAAGATATAACTTATTAACTTTTACTATTTTTATCATCCAATCACAGGTCGGAGCCATTCCTGTAGTTAGTCGCTAGTTTCACACATTCACAAACAGTTTGCATCCATTTGAGTTTTGTTCTTCAGTCTCACGGTAGTGGCGTTGTTCAATAGATTGCATAGAGTATATGCAGTTTAGTTTCAGATTTCAGATTTTGCTTTTTTACAACAAGTGTACGTTTTCAACTAAGACATTGGCATACTTGGCATACAAGGCATACAAGGCATTCAATGCTTTCATGGCTTTCAAGCGTTCGCGACTCAGTCCGTTTCAAAATTACCGCTAAATAACATCTTTTAGTGTGGATTGGCCGCGACCAATACGACATGTGTATGCGTCTATAAGTATTTTGAGCGTTTGCGCCATAATGCTCCAGATGATCGTAATCCAAACACGTTGAAATGCAAAACGAATGACAAAAGAGTATTATAGGCAAAAATCTCATGGTTCGTCATGTGACCCGGCCCTGTCCATGAACGACAACGTCAATCATCATCAAAATAACACGCGTGATCAGCATGTGGACACCTCATTGGATCACAGTTAGTTGTCATGGTGTTGAGGGCCCAATGACCACTGGGTACTATTGCGCGATTTTTCCATTTTGTGGCGGAGGAAAAAAAAAGGACAAAAAAACAAAGGCATTTTATGACTGGGCTACCATAGGTATCCCAGTAATTATGGCCGCCATCTCTGAATTTATATCGCCCTCCTGATAGTTATATTAGGAGGGCGGTCGACGGTAAAAAATAAGGATTGAGGAGGGGGTGGGGAAGTGAAGAGTCTCTCCTTCCCCGCCCCCTACCCCCACCATCCACTCTAACTGCAGCTCAAACATGGCCAGTCGGATAAAAGATCACGAGCATATAACGTTAGCTCGCACATATAAGACGCCTGCACTACAGGCTGATTTACGTCGTGCGTCTGCATTTTCTGCGCCATCATGAATAATTTATCTTGTTTTGCTCACGTCACATTCCGATGCGCTAATGGCAATCGCGCCCCCTGAGGCAAGTAGTTTAACTGGAAGAATTTTGAAGGCGGTTAATTGAAGAAATATTGAAGGCGGAACTTTCTCGCGTTTGAGGTAAGTTTAACTGTTTTTTCAGACTTTTCTAGCTAACTTTTGTCCACTATACAAGCCTGGAGAAGTTTGCGTTACTTCTGGAACATTAGGAAACTCATTTCAAACGAGTTGTCTTCTTTCGGGAACAATGAAGCATTTCACGCTGATCTTTCCTTGGTGGCCATCTTACAGCGAAGTCACAGGCGGCAAGTTGAGTGGCGGTTTTTTTGAGCAATTAAGTCTTGTTCAGCTCCTAACATCATCTGCCTCTTTACTGTACAGTATTTCCACCTAGCCTTCAACTACTCTGCAGACGTTTCCCTCTGGTTTAAACTTGTTTACATCAAACCGCGTAATGGGTATCCAACCATTCGTTCCCTGTTTCGTATAAAGCTTGCGTTAGTACGAAAACCAAGGAAAACCTTAAATTTACACCACGAACCCACTTCACAATCATTGACTACTACTAGTTAATGAAATCTGTAATAGCGGGTCCCTAAGATCAAATTCTAATACACTTGTTTATCCAAATAAGTGAAATTTGTTTGCAATATTATGGTTACCACAAACTCCAATTATAAATGTACAAACTGAAGATCCAGTAGTCCTAAAATTCGTACATTTTCGCGGTTGAAAAATTGAAGAAAATAGTAGCAAGGTAATGGAAATTGATCCAACCCTTGTAGACAACTTTCGGTTTTTCCCAGAACTTCGCGTGACCTCAGTTAGGCCAGCGTGACATACATTGCTTCATGAATACACCCTCAAATGAAAACTTAAATTGAGCTCATTTGTGCTAAATTCGCCCAATCCTATATATTGCAGAAGTTCAAGCAATGGCCAAAATCATTTTTCTGCAAATTGTACTATATGTGGTTGCCTGCAATGTCCTTGACGGCCATGCCAGCGAAACATGCCCAAAGAAGCCTAACGAGATTGAAGAATTGGTACCTAAAAAGGTAAGAAACGAATTACTAGTCATAACTATTTAGTTAAGACTCTACATTTCTACCAATATTAGGTTTCTAACTGTTATGAGTGACGACTTTTTCGGTAAACGGTTAAAATTGTAGCCAAATAACGCTCAGTTAAGGTTTACTTCTTTCAACAGTTTTCAATTGTTTTTAATTTTTACAGTTAACCTTTTCTATGACTAACAGTTAAAATTTGTCAATTGTTACGCCTAAAGGTTAAATATTTTGGCCGGTTTACGGCTAACGGTTGAGAGATCTACTGAGAGCCTCATTTAAATAAGTGTAGTCTGAGCATACAGCGGAACAAATGTTGTGATTAAAAACGATACTGACAAAACTTTTTTGAGGTGTTTATAGGAACTGATTGACACTATTAAAACAGTTATATAGTAAACAGAACACTGGTAACTGTGTGAATGCAAATAAGTCAGGCCTTAGAAACTGATATGTATATGAGCTGATAAATGGACCAATCAGAAGTCTAATTAAAAATTCGACATCTGACTTCCGCGTTTAGCGGAAGCCGGTAAGGCGGGGGGAAAGGGATGATTTTCTTCTTTCGAAACTTTTACTGATAAATAGTCAGCAAGGTAAATATTTGATTTTTGGTCTTTTTTTTGTTGTAGACACAAACGATAGAATCTAACAGCAAAGTTTTTCAAATCATTTCTGAGATAATGAAAGCGCTAGGCGATCTGCTCTCAAAGTCAGCTGGTTTTCCCGAGTTCCGGAAAAAACTTAAGGACGTGAAGGACTCGGTGGAAGAACAAAAAGACAAAGACAAAGACAGTGGTAAAGGCAAATGGGATGAAGAAACTTTTAAAGGAGTAAAAAAAATTATTATAACCTCTAAAGAAAGCATTGAAAATTTTGAAAGTAAAAAACCTCTGGAATTTTTAAAGGGTATGATTAAACTTGCCACAAGCTTTGCAAAACTTGTCGATGCTAGCCCTTACGCCTCTGGTCTTTTGTATGTTTTGGAAGCTGTTTGCGTGTTGATAACGGAAAGTGAACCAAATAAGCCAAGTGTGATACACCAACTAACAAAAGTTGTTCACGACGAGATGATTCACTTAAACGAAAGGTTACATTATCAGAAATATAACGGGCTTAAACTTCGTATGTCAGAACAAATTATTCAGGTGCAGCGAATGAAAGAAGGAGACAAATTAGATGATCCATCTCTGTGGAATGATTACGTGCAATTTTTGGGTGAGCTTGCGAGCAGGTTTGAGTCACCGCTTCCTTTCAAGTATGAAAAAAAACTGACAAAGGATCCCGATGTGAAAGATTTCGTAACAGCCATAGTTACGTACTCTGAAGCTTTCTCCAGCTTCATGACTCATCTGTTTGCTGTCGTAGCAGTATATACAAAAGTAGGAATGGCGCAAGAAGACGTGTACGCTGTGCACAGGAAAATGAATTACCAAACGAAGGAAGCTGAAGAGAAACTCTCTTTTCTGTCAGAAGAGAGATATTTGACATTTCTTGGAAAAATTGACGGCGGAAAACTCACCAAAATTGTGGCTTTAAGCCGAAGAATTCGTGATAAAATCCTGGTAGAAACTGTTCGACACAGCTTGGGTTTGTCGCCAATGCCGAATTTAACAACAGTTGAGTCTTCTGCGAAGAAAGTGAGTCAACAAGCAGTGTCTTTGAGGTCAGTAGAGAAATGCATTAGTTCTCTTTACCTGTACTTTGACGGATACGTTTCCATTCAGTTTTTCAATGACGTTGACGTTCCAATGAAGATTGTTTCGGGTGAAGTCGGCGGGAATCAAGGGAACCAATTTCAGTTTGAGCAAATCGTTGAACCTCGCAAATCGTATCGCCAGGTAACTGATTTCAGTTTCTCTACCGGTGGGTACATAGTTCTATATTTTAACAGCAGTATGGTGAGCTCTGATTTAGAGAATATCAGGGTTATCGAATTTGCAATGTCACATGGTTATTTCACAAATAAAACAGGCATGCAAGACAAAACTGACGAAGAGTTTTCGGGCGGTCAGGACGCCCTCGACGAGAGCTCTGATCACCCTGTAACTCTGTACTTTTCTGAAAATGGAAAATATTACATTGCCAAAGCTGAGTATTTTGTTTGTTGGCCCGAGCACACTTTTCGATTCATCATTCAAGACTTTGATCCAGAAGCTGTTGGAGATGGAGAACATTAGGATTGACACTCCTCTATTCACTTCGTTCCCAGGGTCTCTCTTCTACAAACCTCTATTAGGTGGAGTGGGGAGGGTCGGAAATGAGAGACCCTGTCAAGGGAGGGAGAGAGGGAGACGAAATTCAGAAAATTTAGAAAATGGAGCCAAAACAGTTGTTGCAAGAGTGCAATACATCTCCTACCTTTCCCCACCAGACTTTAATCAATACTTTTAGTCTATTTGTAGATTGCGTTTACTGTTAAGAGACAGGCTGAAATTCCATATTTTCTTTATTACTCATAAAACCATATGAGAAAATACTTCATTTGAAAATTGCTTGGTTGAATTTTAAAATTCTAACTATTTTCACAAAACCATGTTTAATTTTTTCGTATCTTTCCTAAGCTACCCTGCATGTTGAGCTTTGAACACCAGATTTTGACTCTTAAATGCTTTTGAAACACCTGACAAAAATTCTTTAAACCAATTTTCACCTCACTAACGTGCAGAAAGATATATCAAAACACAAACAAAGAGGAGAAAAAAAGGGAAACAAAAGGGAAAAAAAGCCACATTAGAAATTGTCAGTATGTAAATATTTGTGGGCAATAAGCACAAAAAAGGGCAATATTAATATGATATACTGAATGGGAAATGAGGATGGGCAGCATCTCTTGGAACTTTCTTGCCATCAACCTGCAAATCCAAATTATCAAAGAAAAACTGTAAGTCCTCTTCATTACCACAAAGTATATTTATTATTTTAATTAACTCAAATGACTCAAATCACTAAAGCCTTACATCATCAGATGTACAGTGTGACACCATTGTCTAGCTTACTTAGACTAATTTTCCTTTCCTTATTAATATAGTTAGCTCTTAGAATTCATTATTGAATCAAGTAGTAATTTCCTTGGTAATGATTTTTGTTATTCTCATCACTGCTCTCCTTGATATCGAATTGACACTGTGAGAAAAAATTAATTTTTTTCAGGCCTTATTTCAACTACTAGTTAAGTAGTGTTCATAACTGCAAGGATCACTTATATTTGTTTCTTCAAGTGCAGTGCACATATATGATTTTCATATACCAGTATTTACAGTCATGTGAAAACCAATTATTGGTCACTCCCAGGAGTGAAAGAGCTAAACAGATCATTCATTTTCATGCATACTGTTCCTGAAAATTTTCCAACATCTTTATCATGAAAGTTACAGGCTTAAATCATAGACTCCTGAGAGTTAAAACATCTAAATTCTCCCAAAAACATCACAGCTGAACCAAACATCGTAGTGTGATGAGAATAAAGAAAAATCAACTTCAGATTTCAACACATATTATACCTGACTGTATATTTAACCTGGATGAGTTCAATAAAATTACTTGATGAGTAACTTAGCTCAAATTTTAAATCATTATTTACATGTATGTCATGGCCCCTGTTACTTTCCTATTCTGAGGCCATTTTGCAGTTATAGATCTTAAGGCCTGAGAGACAGTGAGAAAAGAGGACAACATATATGAGTGACTAGCATCTAATTTCTCCTTACAATATCACTCCTGAATTGCACATTAAGGTCATGAGAATAAAGGAAATGATCAACAACTAAAGAAACTTGATTGTTCAACAAATTCTCCTTGTCCTCACATTAGGTATTGTATAGAGAACAGTATGGAGAATATGCATACTGATGTAAGGTTTTAAAGGGTTAAGTTCAGCAGATTGTCTGTGAAATGCTGAATACAATGTTACTTACCTCTATCATTGGAATACAAGCTCTCCAAGGTCTGTTAAAGGATTCAATAACCTTCATGTCTTCATCAGACAGGTGAAAATCAGAAACCTGCAGGTTAATTGCAAGATAATTACAATTCAGTTTTAAAATCAGCGGAAAAAAGTTATCAGAAAAAAAGATTTCTCCCTAGGACAAAATTATTTTGGGCAAAATTAAACAATAATTCCTGCAATTACCCTTGCGAAATGGCTTTTGGAATTCCTAGGAATTCCTAGGAATAAAGGTGTGAATTTTCACGGTAAATTCAGACTGGGAATTCCTAGGAATTCCCAACCATAACAACTCTGGTTCTAAAAACCTAGAAATTCCTAGAAATTCCCAGAAATTCCCAGAAATTCCCAGAAATTCCAAGTTTATAGCCAACAGGACTTGGAATTCCTAGGAATTCCTGGGAATTCCAACCCAGAGGACCAATGACTTTCCCTGAAAAGCTGGGAATTCCTAGGAATTTCTGGGAATTTTTGGGAATTTTTGGGAATTTTTAGGAATGTTTAAGAATTACTGGGAATTTTAAGCAAAAATTTGAGGCTAATGATATAAAATAAATACTTAAAATTAAAAAAACCCAGCTAAAATTCAAGTATTCAATGAAATTTATTTAGAAGCTTAATTAAGGCTTACATGTAAAATATTTTTGATTAATTATTAACATCAATGTGTGGTAATATTAGGATGGAATTTGATTTATTTTTCTTTTCTTGAAAACTTCATACGGATTAATCCTCAATTACAGCTATTCATATAAAATAGTTCTAATCAATCATTAAATTTGGTTTGACACAAATTGTGAATAAAATCTGTTGATTCTTTTCCATAAAATACAATATCTTAAGTTATATTTATATAGTTATATTCTTGGGAGTGAAAGGGCTAATTACAGACAAATAAAATTGATTTTTTGATTAAAATTTTGTTGTAACTGTAACAATAAATTAGAATGAAGTTATCCTAAACTGCAAACTTTGCTGCTACTTGTACTGTTTGTATTTTTTTTTCCTGGGCTCACAATGAGTTGGCCTTGAATGAGGTTGTCAACAAGAACCTTGACTATTTTGTATCTGGATTCCTTGACATCTGAATTTGAAAAAAAATAATATATTAAAATATGTATGTTTAAAGCTCAGACCAGGCTTTTAAGATGGCTATGAGGAAAAGGGCATTCATTGGATTCTCAAATTGAGAAATCTCTGTTATGGAGTTAGTACATCTCTCTCATGGATTTTACTAAAAAAGGGCTGAATACATTATTTTGTTTTTTCCAAGGAGGGCTCCTTTATGTACTAAGGTTTGTTATGAATCTTGAATGTTCCCAAACGTGACTAGAGGAATCTTGAAACCTTACGGATAGGTTTATTTCATTGTAAAGCATAAGCTTAAGAAACTGCGCCATGCAAGTGACCGATTCGATTCTCAGAATTATTCTAGTTTCAGTTGCGCCGAGCGTTATGTAAGCTTAATTCTACCCGCTACATCTATTCTTTTATAAGATTTTGATCACAACGAATATCGCAATTTTTACTCACCACAAACTTTCAAAATCGTAGCTTTACAGATGGCCACTCGACCCTTGTTTGTACCGGTCCATATGTCAACTGTTGTCCCTTCTTTTAACTCCACGGCGCCAACGACTTTCTTCTCTTTTACAACACTCACGCTATTCTCGTTTTCCCATTGAACCACAATAAAAGCTATCTTTAGAAATGTTATATTAAGCAAAACAGTTGAGAAAAGCGATCAACCGATGAAAAGTACATTCAAAGATGAGCGCCAAATGCAGTCTTCTTTGTTTCCGATCACGGGCATGATCACGTGGATCTTTTAGGACTTGTCATTGGCTAGCAAAGTGAATCCGCTGGCTTGCCGATTGCAGTGTTAAGAGAAGCGCCCAACTTTATTCTGACTTCTCCGACCGGTTCTCTGCTTCTAGAAGATGGATAGCTTGGTGATATAAATAAAGATGTGAGCTCACTCTATGTAGAAATAATCGACAAGAATCGATCGTATTACAAATGCACGATTTGTGGCCGAAAGTTGTCGAGGAAACAAAGACTCGAAACTCACTTGAGTTGTGTTAATGGCATAGGTGAGAAATAACACAAGCCAATCACAGTTTTGAATGGGACTACAAATCGTCTTTTACCCTCATATTTATAAAAGAAGGATACCACATTCGGAAGTGTAAGAGATACATAGATGATCCCAGTGTACCAGTACCTAAATCTACAAAGCTTGACCGTAGCAAGCGTTCAGCAACACGTTCCAACACCGCCATCTCGATTCCTCAGTCAGTCGTTTCCACTGAACTTAAAGCAGTATTGACAACAGAGTAGAGTGCGTCTTACAAAGGAGAAACATTTGTACAAGAGACAGGAGTAGCTATATGCGATTACAGAGGTGCGTTGGAACTCTGTTCCACAAATAGTTATGCACTGCCCAAAGTATAAAACAATTTTGTTGATAGCTGACAGACAGAGAAGAACAATAAGTAAACTTAAGAGCTGTTATTATTGAAGTATGACTAGCACTTTTCATTTTTATATAAAGAAGGACTTGTAATTTGCACCAAAAATAAAAAGATGTAATATTTTTTTGGGAGATCCAGTGATTGGGACATTTAAGAAATTAAGTTATGAAAGGAAACTTGGTTGGTACTTCTCACTACTAACAAGTCTTGTTGACATATTTTCAGATCAGAGTTTCAAATAAAGTAAATTGAAGACGTCATATAAAAGGTGTTTTTCCTCAAAGGGTACATTGACTACCTCTGTCTTGTCTGCATGCCAAATGTTTGCCAAAAGTATTGGAACTCTTACAAAAATGTTTTGTAAGAATAAAAACAGCAAAACAAATTACAGCAATTAGTCATGAAAATAGAGCAAAAAACTGAAAAAAAGCAGCAACAACAATCATCAAAAAAGAAAGATTAATTAGGTGTTGAATTTGTTTGTCTAAGGCATGAAATTTCTACTAAAAGTATTGTCAACAAAAAGTCTCTGACAGCGTTTGAGGCAACTGAGCTTGACTGTTCCAAGGTTTTCTAACAAAGGCAACCAGTAATGTAGGTTAGGGAAGTAAGATGACAACGTAATTATTGTTAATTATTGTGGAAGTTGGCAATTTCCATTTAACATAACTGACAGCTGGTTCATGAGAAAATCCATAATAATGTTAAGATTTACTAAAACTTAGTTTGAGTAATAAATTTCATGATCTTTAAGTTATAAACATGTACATGTATGTATATCTCTTGGTAAGTTTTGTATAGCATACCTTTTATTGAACCAAAGTTTTAAGCCTCTGAAATTACTCTTTTTCTTAAAACCTTCACATTCAAGGTATTGAGAATTTCTTAGAATTTATGTGGACCTCAGGGTATTAAAATTGCCTCAAATTCAATTCCCAGAAATTCCCAAGAGTTCCACACTTCTTAAATTATAGGTAGTTTGTAAAGCTGAGAATTCCTAGGAATTCCTAGGGATTTCAAGTCCTCACAAAACTGGAGTCTTCCTTTCCCAGAAATTCCCAGTAATTCCAAGCTTTTTAAATCAGAGTTAATTTGCATAGTTGGGAATTTTTGAGAATTCCTAGGAATTCCTAGGAATTCCCAGAAATTCCCAGAAAACTGGGAATTCAGTTTGCAAGGGTCATTTGCATAATTGGGAATTTTTGAGAATTCCTGGGAATTCCTAGGAATTCCCAGAAAACTGGGAATTCAGTTCGCAAGGGTAAGGTTTATCCCCTTATAACCCCCAAGAGTGATAATTATCTAAGTTCTCCTCACAGTATCACCCCTAAATCACACATTAAGGTCATGAGAGTAAAGGAAATGATCACCATCTAAGGAGGCTCTTGATTATTATACAAAATCTCCTTATCAGCACCTTAAGAAATGTATAGAGAACAGTATGGGGAAAATGCAAACTGATATTCAGTAGTAAAGGTTAACTTTAGACTGCAAAAACTCAATTATGAACATGTTACAACCTGCTACATGACTGCCAAACACAGGTCGCCAAATCGACAACATCCCTAAAATTGATACTTACTGTCATGACACTGCATAGTTTGGATTAACTGTCAGAAACAATTAAAATGCCATATGACTTTGTAAACCTTACCTCAAAGTTGCTCTTAATGCGAGCAGGAGTAACACTCTTGGGTATAACAGACAAACCACGCTGTATCTGAAAGCAGATGCAGACCTGTACAGGAGACTTGCCATATTTATTGGCAATCGCCACCATCTTGGGATTATCCAAAAGGTAGGCATCTCCAGGTTTTGCCCACAGATGATAAGGTGACCCTAGAGGGCTGTACGCCGTTACTGCATGAGGTAAAGGAATAAAATGTAAGCAGATTATTTCACATTATGTCTGAGATGCTGTGGACTTCAGGTCAAGAGATAAAGGTTTAAGACTTGAACTATGTATAGCTGTGCATTTGTTAACCCTTAACCCACAAAAGTGATTAACATGTAACTTCTCATTATAATATCATGCATTACCCAGCAAACAGGTAATGAGAAAACTCAAACTTATCAAGTGGAAGTTATCTTGATCTAACACCAAAATGCAGTTAAATGCAGTTTAATGGAGTTGACAACAAAGAGCATTAGCGTTTTTATTTGGTTTCTTGCATATGCATGTGTGGCGGAATTCCATATGCCCTTCCTTTGAGGCGTTCTTGCGTGTACTTTGAGCATGTACTTGTAAGGAGTGGCAGCTCTTCATCCAGGCAGTTTTTCCTCACCCATTTCCTACCTCTTTCCACTGTTTATTCAGTGTGAGGGGTGTCTGTTCCCCTTTCCTGTTTGGGGGCTCATGGCTGGGTTGCCAGGATTTGCCAGCCATGGCAGAAGTCTCCATCTAGGAGCTGGCTGCCAATAGTGGAAGCTCCTGGATGTTTCAGGCACCCAACCTCCAATTCGTGATGCAGTTGTTAACTCCTGCAACTCAGACAGACAGAAGTAATTCATTAAAATTCTACTAACTCGTAAGGAAAACATTATAAAGCGACTCAAGAGAGCTCTTGTTTAAGGTGAACACATTGTCTGGATAATTGAAATGTTCAGGGAAGCTATCAATAATTTACAAGCGGCCTGGGAGAGAAGAATATTAAGTTTAACTTAATCAGTTAAAGCTCTAACCACGAAAATATCGTTCTTTTTCGTGGAGCTTAGAACTACACGAAAGGCGAAAAATTTTGCAACGTTATTTCTGAGGAAAACAAGTAACGTGCAGTAAGTCGCTTTGCAAAAATTATTGCGTTTGACATTAGAAGGCAGCCCATAGTCTTGAGATTCCTGTAGTACTCAAGGATGACCATTTGCGTTACCCATTTCCGTCTAGCCTGCAGACCAGGCGTAAATTTGGCGAGCGAGTGCTCAGTAACTTCTTAACGAAACTAGACCCTGTGAGCAGGGTAACTGGGATACCTGGATGGTACTGGATCCTTGGAATCAAGTGTAGTGATACTACGGGTGTCGGACTGGTATACTGAAATAGTGAGCTCAAGTCTGGCCAAGGGCATACACCTGTTTCAAAACATAGGCATGCTATGCATGCAAGAGTTATTTTTTGTAGGGTGGGTGGATTACTTGAAACATTGTGAGTGGTCTACATGCTTACAAAAGGAAAGAAGATTATTAACGCGGAAATGAATGAAAATGTCAAATTACTTCACACACCAGTATTTTTTGGTAGATTATGTGTGTTGTGCGAATAAATGTAACCAAAAATAAACTGTATTGCGTAAGTACTAAAATAAGGAACGACCTAAAACTACCTAAAACCACCTAAAACCACCTAAAACCACCTACAACCACCTACAACTATCTACAACCACCTCAAAAATTTTCAACAACCACCTACAACCACCTCAAAAACATCTACAACCACTTGCAAACTATCTAAAACCATCTTAAACAAAATACGAGAATCAAACAAAACCTCTACCTCCCCCTGAAATCTTACTCTCCCTGGTCCCATGTATAATCAACCATCTCACGAAATGAAATGCGATAGCATGCTAATTATTTTATATTCCCTCAGCAAAAGACTTAAAGAACTTTACAAAATGAACTAACATGTTACAAAAAATAATATCCATTTTAAGAGTCAACGCCAACGCACTCTACGATTGTTATTAGAGGATTGTCGATTCATTTATTTGCATTCATTAATGAGGTCGGATTTTCTTCCAAGAAAAGGGCTATTGTGTTTATATGATAAACAAAATAATACATGGTTGCTTGTAGATATGGAATTTCTCTTCTCGTGTTCAACTCGACATTGCCTCACTCGTGAGCTATCGAGTTAAATACTCGAAGATTAATCCGCTGACAAAATTCATTTAGTCAGTTTAGGCGGACGACCAGAGACTGGAGCCATTCGTGTATTTCACCGCAGACAGGAATGGCTCCAACTCATTCGTATATTAATTTTTTTCTGTTCTGGCTAAATAATTTATACACTGAGATAAAAACTGAAAGAGTGATTTATTAGGTTGTAGTCAACAGTGCTTGCAAATGAAGCCCTCTTTTATTACTACAGGGCCATGTAGTTTCTAAGTTTTAAAATAATGCAGCAACTGCATGTCACGTTTGGAAAATCACGCAATGTTGCGTGACGCTGCGACCAATGTTTTTAATTTACAGCATGCTCTGCTGGAGAAATGAGGCTTGGCCACAATCGAGGGAGTTTTTTTCATGGAAAACTGATTTTCTAGGTTATTGTTCACACGAAGAGCAAATCCATTCATCGGGCTCTTCTTTTTTTTTTGCACAACACCTAAAGGAAGAAAGTCGCGGATTGGTTTTGCTTGGTAATTTCCAACAACTCCCCTAGACCTAATCAAAGTGCTCTGTGAGCAAACTCGTGAATTGACACATGATTTTTTAGATTATGTTTAATGTTATCTGGTTTAGGGAATTTTGTGGTTGATTGTCATATCTAGAGTACGAGCAGTAGTTCATTGTTCGCTAATGTAGCAAAGAAACAAAGTAACGTTGGGATAAGAAGGCATTACAATTGAAATGATCATGCTATTACATTTGACAAGGTGGATGATGTCATGTGTTTTAAACGTCTATCATTTTTGTTTCTGGCTCAAAAGAAAAGGTTGGAAGTAAATGTGGGTGAAAAGTGAAATTTACTGTCTTTCGTTGTAAATATTAGAAAATCAAGGCAATACTGTCTTAATGAAAACATTAACGATTCCCTCTTTATCAAATGAGACAAACGGGAACGAGGTTTGAGTGATATAACTAAGCCAAGCCTGCCACCGTCCTTTTGGATCTCCGCCTGGGTAGATTTAAGTCACGTGCTAGGCAACGATAGAATTTCATTTCAGGCCTGTTTATCAATTTTGTGGTGTGTAACTTTCGCATTTTAGTACGTTGTAGGTATGTTGAATCTTCAAATTGTCTTGAAACTTAAAAGAAAATTGTTCTTTAAAAATTCACTGAAAATCGGTAGCTAAAATTGTTTGTTTAGGTGTTATTTGATTTTCGTGTTAACTTGTTATTTCGTCAGTCGCCGGCATCTTCTGTTGCTTCACACAGGAAAAACACACGCGACGAAACGTAATGATCAATTTTGTCCTCAATCTCACGCTATAACAGAAAAAGCTTTTATACATCTGTAAACTCCGAGCGCTTCGCAGTAAGTGATATTTTCAATGAATCTTCGGATTGTTTTCAAGTTCAAGGATTGTAAATTACAATTTTATGAAAAACGAAGATTGTTGTTATTTCAGTGTGAATCCTTGCATGCCTGCCAGTCGCTGGCGCCGCTTGTTGAAACTAAAACGAAAAAAAAACTCTTTTAAGATGATCATTGGCTTCTTTTTCATCCCACCACTATTCTTAGCAACAAAGGTCGCCATCTCGTCTGTTTAATGCTCGCCAAAAACTATCAAATGCACTCAAAAGCCTAAAATCTAAAAAAAGTTTACAGGAATCGACCAATCGAGCGAGCGAGCGAGCAAGCGAGCGAATGCCATTCCCTACATCGTATCTATAACTCGCTCTTGCGCATGCGCGCAATTCACGAGTTAAAAAGGGAAAAACAAACCAAACCCAAAAAACGTCTTACCAGTCAAGCCAGTTGCAGTAGCCCTCGCACTGAATCATGTCGAAGTGCCTTGACTGTTTGCAGTGATGGTACAACCAATCTTCGAACAGTTTTCGGCCATAACAAGAAAGAGTAAAATGATTTTGTAAAACTTGTTCCAAAATTAATGAAGGCTGTTCATCACATGACGCTGTATTGGAACGAGTACATCTCGTTTGCTATTGTATCACACTACTGTTTTAGACAAGGTATTTATACCACTTCAATTTAAGAAAGAATGAGTAGAACATAAACCACATTTTCTGTAAAGTACACGAGCCATCCTAACCTAATTTGCCAACTACTTTCCAGGCATCGTCTGTAAAAAAAACTGTTCAAATTTTTCAAATTTGAAAATTTTTAGCTAAAACCGTGGCTCCCAAAAATATTTCTCACCTTGCCTAAAACATTTTCAGAAGAAATTTTCAAATTTTTCACAGCTTTGCCTATTCCTGCTCGTAGGTCCAGCCAAGCCCTTATGGTCGTTGGCCCCCACAATGGCCGCTGACAATGGCTTATAAATATAGGCGTTTGGTGTTGACTTCTGTTGACTCCCTGAAGAAGTTTACGACAACTAGACGAAACACGTCAGAGAATAAAGTAGTTTTACAACTACTGTTCGCACAGCGCTGCTCACTAGTTTAGTTTTAAATTGTTTAAAATTTTTTTTTTTTAAAAATTGTTCAAAAATTATTAAAAAATTACTGAAAAAAAAATTAATAAACGTTTGAGTCGGAGCTATTCCTGTCAGCGGTGAAATACAAGAATGGCTCCAGTCTCTGATCGTCCGCCTGAACTGACGTTTTCATCGCCGGAATATCGCTGAACGACCTCGCTGAGCAAGAAAGGCTCTGCCTTCCCTTCGCTACGTAAGTAAACATTTCTTGTTTCTCGGTGTTTTCACTAGCATTGATGTTTCATTGTTCCGCTTAGAGACACGCGGTAAACAATACTCACGAGTAAGGAGTTAAGCTATAACTTATTAACGTTTACTATTTTTATCATCCAATCACAGGTCGGAGCCATTTCTGTATTTAGTCGCTTGTTTCACAAGCAGTTTGCATCCATTTGAGTTTTGTTCTTCAGTCTCACGGTAGTAGCGTTGTTCAAAAGATTGCATAGAGTATATGCAGTTTGGTTTCAGATTTCAGATTTTGCTTTTTTACAAGGGTACGTTTTCAACTAAGACATTGGCATACTTGGCATACTTGGCATACAAGCCATTCGAGGCTTTCATGGCTTTCAAGGCATACAAGGCTTTCATGGCTTTCAAGCGTTCGCGACTCAGTCCGTTCCAAAATTACCGCTCAATAACATCTTTTATTGTGGATTGGCCGCGAACAATACGACTTGTGAATGCGTCTATAAGTATTTTGAGCGTTTGCGCTATAATGCTCCAGATGGTCGTAATCCAAACACGTTGAAATACAAAACGACTGACAAAAGAGTTTTACAGGCAAAAATCTTATGGTTCGTCATGTGACCCAGCCCTGTCCGTGCATGACGACGTCAATCATCATCAAGATAACACGCGTGATCAGCATGTGAACACCTCGTTGGATCACAGTTAGTTGTCAAGGTGTTGAGGGCCCAATGACCACTGAGTACTATTGCGCAATTTTTCCATTTTGTGGCGGAGGAAAAAAAAACAAAGGCATTTTATGACTGGGCTACCACAGTTATCCCAGTAATTATGGCCGCCATCTCTGATTTTATTGGCAGAGGAAGGTTGGGGAGAGAAAGAAATTTATATTAGAAGGGCGGTCGACGGTAATAAAAAATAAGGAGTGAGGAGGGGGTTGGGGAAGTGAAGAGTCTCCCTTTCCCTGCCCCCCTACCTCCACCATCCACTCTACCTGCAGCTCAAACATGGCCAGTCGGATAAAAGATCACGAGCATATAACGTTAGCTCGCACATATAAGACGCCTGCACTACAGGCTGATTTACGTCGTACGTCTGCATTTTCTGTGCCATCATGAATAATTTATCTTGTTTAGCCCACGTCACATTCCGATGCACTAATGGCAATCGCGCCCCCTGAGGCAAGTAGTTTAACTGGAAGAATTTTGAAGGCGGTTTAACTGAAGAAGTATTGAAGGCGGAACTTTCTCGCGTTTGAGGTAAGCTTAACTGTTTTTTCAGACTTTTCTAGCTCACTTTTATCCATTATCCACGCCTGAGGGAAGTTTGCGTTACTTCTGGAACATTTGGAAACTTATTTCAAACGAGGTTTGTTCTTTCGGGAACAATGAAGCATTTCACGCTGATCTTTCCTTTGTCGCCATCTCACAGCGAGAACACAGGCGGCAAGTTGAGTGGCGGTTTTTTTGGGCAATTAAGTCTTGTTCAGCTCCTAACATCATCTGCCTCTTTACTTTACAATATTCCCACGTAGCCTTCAACTACTCTGCAGACGTTTCCCTCTGGTTTAAACTTGTTTACATCAAACCGCCTAATGGGTACCCAACCATTCGTTCCCTATTTCGTATAAAGCCTGCGTTAGTACGAAAACCAAGGAAAACCTTAAATCTACACCACGAACCCACTTCACAATCATTGACTACTACTAGTTGATGAAATCTGTAGTAGCGGGTCCTTAAGATCAAATTCTAACATACTTGTTTATCCAAATAAGTGAAATTTGTTTACAATATTATGGTCACCACAAACTCCAATTATAAATGTACAAACTGAAGATCCAGTAGTCCTAAAATTCGTACATTTTCGCGGTTGAAAAATTGAAGTAAATAGTAGCAAGGTTATGGAAATTGATCTAGCCCTTGTAAACAACTTTCGGTTTTTCCCGGAACTTCGCGTGACCTCAGTTAGGCCAGCGTGACATACATTGCTTCATAGATACACCCTCAAATGAAAACTTGAATTGAGCTCATTTTGTTAAATTCGCCCAATCCTATATATTGCAGAAGTTCAAGCAATGGCCAAAATCATTTTTCTGCAAATTGTACTATATGTGGTTGCCTGCAATGTCCTTGACGGCCATGCCAGCGAAACATGCCCAAAGAAGCCTAACGAGATTGAAGAATTGGTACCTAAAAAGGTAAGAAACGAATTACTAGTCATAACTATTTAGTTAAGACTCTACATTTCTACCAATATTAGGTTTCTAACTGTTATGAGTGACGACTTTTTCGGTAAACGGTTAAAATTGTAGCCAAATAACGCTCAGTTAAGGTTTACTTCTTTCAACAGTTTTCAATTGTTTTTAATTTTTACAGTTAACCTTTTCTATGACTAACAGTTAAAATTTGTCAATTGTTACGCCTAAAGGTTAAATATTTTGGCCGGTTTACGGCTAACGGTTGAGAGATCTACTGAGAGCCTCATTTAAATAAGTGTAGTCTGAGCATACAGCGGAACAAATGTGATTAAAAACGATACTGACAAAACTTTTTTGAGGTGTTTATAAGAACTGATTGACACTATTAAAACAGTTATATAGTAAACAGAACACTGGTAACTGTGTGAATGCAAATAAGTCAGGCTTTAGAAACTGATATGTATATGAGCTGATAACCGAGATAAATGGACCAATCAGAAGTCTAATTAAAAATTCGACATCTGACTTCCGCGTTTAGCAGAAGCCGGTAAGGCGGGGGGAAGGGATGATTTTCTTCTTTCGAAACTTTTACTGATAAATAGTCAGCAAGGTAAATATTTGATTTTTGGTCTTTTGTTTGCTGTAGACACAAACGATGGAATCTAACAGCTACGTTTTTCAAATAATTTCTGAGATAATGAATGCCCTAGGCGATCTGGTCTCAGTGTCAGCTGGTCCTCCCGAGTTCCAGAAAAAACTTATGGACGTGAAGGACTCGGTGGAAGAACAAAAAGACAAAGACAAAGACAGTGGTAAAGGCAAATGGGATGAAGAAACTTTTAAAGGAGTAAAAAAAGTTATTACAAACTTTAGAGAAATCATTAAAGATTTTGAAAGTAAAAAACCTCTGAAAATTGCAGAGGGTATGTTTAAACTTGCCACAAGCGTTGCAAAACTTGTCGGTGCTGGCCCTTACGTCTCTGGTATTTTGGATGTTTTGGAAGCTGTTTACGTGTTGATAACGGAAAGTGAACCAAATAAGCCAAGTGTGATACACCAACTAACAAAAGTTGTTCACGACGAGATGATTCACTTAAACGAAAGGTTACATGATCAGAAATATAACGGGCTTAAACTTCGTATGTCAGAACAAATTATTCAGGTGCAGCGAATGAAAGAAGGAGACAAATTAGATGATCCATCTCTGTGGAATGATTACGTGCAATTTTTGGGTGAGCTTGCGAGCAGGTTTGAGTCACCGCTTCCTTTCAAGTATGAAAAAAAACTGACAAAGGATTCCGATGTGAAAGATTTCGTAACAGCCATAGTTACGTACTCTGAAGCTTTCTCCAGCTTCATGACTCATCTGTTGGCTGTCGTAGCAGTATATACAAAAGTAGGAATGGCGCAAGAAGACGCGTACGCTGTGCTTAGGAAAATGAATTACCAAACGAAGGAAGCTGAAGAGAAACTATCTTTTCTGTCAGAAGAGAGATATTTGACATTTCTTGGAAAAATTGACGGCGGAAAACTCACCAAAATTGTGGCTTTAAGCCGAAGAATTCGTGATAGAAGCCTGGTAGAAACCGTTCGACACATCTTGGGTTTGTCGCCAATGCCGAATTTAACAACAGTCGAGTCTTCTGCGAATAACGTGAGTCAACAAGCAGTGACTTTGAGGCCAGTACTGAAATGCAATGTATTTGATCGGCTTCTCTATCTCCCTTACAGTTACGTTTCCATTCAGTTTTTCAATGAAGTTGACGTTCCAATGAAGATTGTTTCGGGTGAAGTCGGCAAGAGTCAAGGGAACCAATTTCAGTTTGAGCAAATCGTTGAACCTCGCAAATCGTATAGCCAGGACACTGATTTCAGTATCTCTACCGGTGGGTACATAGTTCTATATTTTAACAGCAGTATGGTGAGCTCTGATTTAGAGAATACCAGAGTTATCGAATTTGCAGTGTCATATGGATATTCCGGATATATAATAGGCATGCAAGACAAAACTAACGAAGAGTTTTCGGGCGGTCAGGACGCCCTTGACGAGAGCTCTAAACAGCCTGTAACTCTGTACTTTTCTGAAAATGGAAAATATTACATTGCCAAAGCTGAGTTTTTTTTTTGTGTGCTCTATTACACTTTTCAATTCATCATTCAAGACTTTGATCCAGAAGCTGTTGGAGATGGAGAACATTAGGATTGACACTCCCCTATTCACTTCGTTCCCAAGGTCTCTCTTCTACAAACCTCTATTAGGTGGAGTGGGGAGGGTCAGAAATGAGAGACCCTGTCATGGGAGGGAGGGAGACGAACTTCAGAAAAATTAGAAAATGGAGCCAAAACAGTTGTTGCAAGAGTGCAATACATCTCCTACTTTTCCCCACCAGATTTAAATCAATACTTTTAGTCTATTTGTAGATTGAGTTTACTGTTAAGAGACAGGCTGAAATTCCATATTTTCTTTATTACTCATAAAACTATATGAGAAAATACGTCATTTAAAAATTGCTTGGTTGAATTTTAAAATTCTAACTATTTTCACAAAACCATGTTTAAGTGTTTCCTATCTTTCCTAAGCTACCCTGCATGTTGAGCTTTGAACACCAGAATTTCATATCACAATTTTGACTCCTAAATGCTTTTGAAACACCTCACAAAAATTCTTTGAACCAATTTTCACCTCACTAACGTGCAGAAAACACAAACAAAGAGGAGAAAAAAGGGAAAACAAAAGGGGAAAAAAGCCACATTAGAAGTTGTCAGTATGTAAATATTTGTGAGCAATAAGCACAAAAAGGGGAGATATTAATATGATATACTGAATGGGAAATAAGGATGGGCAGCATCTCTTGGAACTTTCTTGCCATCAACCTGCAAATCCAAATTATCAAAGAAAAACTGTAAGTCCTCTTCATTACCACCAAGTATATTTACTATTTTATTTACCTCAAATGACTTAAATCACAAAAGCCTTACACCATCAGATGTACAATGTGACGCCATTGTCTAGCTTACTTAGACTAGTTCCCCTTTCATTTTTTATATATTTATATAGTTCGCTCTTTGAATTTAGTATTGGATCAAATAGTAATTTCCTCAGTAATGATTTTCTTTATTCTTATCACTGCTCTCCTGGATATTGTATTGACACTGCGAGAAGAAATAATTTTTTTTTCAGGCCTTATTTCAACTTCTAGTTGGGTAGTGTTCATAACTGCAAGGATTGCTTAAATTTGTTTCTTCAAGTGCAGTGCACATATATGATTTTCATATACCAGTATTTACAGTTATGTAGAAATCAATAATTGGTCACTGTGAAAGAGCTAAACAGATCATTCATTTTCATGCATACTGTTCCTGAAAATTTTCCAACATCTTTATCATGAAAGTTACAGGCTTAAATCCTGGACCCCTGAGAGTTAAAAACATCTTATTTCTTCCAACAATATCACAGCTGAACCAAACATTGTAGTGTGATGAGAATAAAGAAAAATCAACTTCAAATTTCAACACATATTATACCTGACTGTATATTTAACCAGGATGAGTTTAATAAAATTACTTGATGAGTAACTTAGCTCAAATTTTAAATCATTATTTACATGTATGTCATGGCCCCTTTTACTTTCCTATTCTGAGGCCATTTTGCAGTTATAGATCTTAAGGCCTGAGAGACAGTGAGAAAAGAGGACAACATATATGAGTGACTAGCATCTAATTTCTCCTTACAATATCACTCCTGAATTGCACATTAAGGTCATGAGAATAAAGGAAATGATCAACAACTAAAAAAACTTGATTGTTCAACAAATTCTCCTTGTCCTCACATTAAGTAATGTATAGAGAACAGTATGGAGAATATGCATACTGATGTAAGGTTATAAAGGGTTAAGTTCAGCAGATTGTCTGTGAAATGCTGAATACAATGTTACTTACCTCTATCATTGGAATACAAGCTCTCCAAGGTCTGTTAAAGGATTCAATAACCTTCATGTCTTCATCAGACAGTTGAAAATCAGAAACCTGCAGGTTAATTGCAAGATAATTACAATTTAGTTTTAAAATCAGCGGAAAAAAAGTAATCAGAAAAAAAGATTACTCCCTTGGACAAAATTATTTTGGGCAAAATTAAACATTAACAATTCCTGCAGTTAAGGTTTATCCCATTATAACCCCCAAGAGTGATAATTATCTAAGTTCTCCTCACAGTCTAAAAGTCCTAAAGTCCTAAAATCACACATTAAGGTCATGAGAGTAAAGGAAATGATCACCAACTAAAGAGGCTCTTGATTATTATACAAAATCTCCTTATCAGCACCTTAAGAAATGTGTAGAGAACAGTATGGGTAAAATGCAAACTGATATTTGGTTATAAAGGTTATCTTTAGACTGCAAAAACTCAATTATGAACATGTTACAACTTGCCACATGACTGACAAACACAGGTCACCAAATCAACAACATCCCTAAAATTGGTACTTACTGTCATAACACTACATAGTTTGAAATAACTGTCAGAAACAATTTAAATGCCACATGACTTTGCAAAACTTACCTCAAAGTTGCTCTTAATGCGAGCAGGAGTAACACTCTTGGGTATAACAGACAAACCACGCTGTATCTGAAAGCGGATACAGACCTGCGCAGGAGACTTGCCATATTTACTGGCAATTGCCACCATCTTGGGATCATCCAGAAGGTAGGGATCTCCAGGTTTTGCCCACGGACGATCAGGTGATCCCAGAGGGCTGTATGCTGTTACTGAGGTAAAGGAATAAAATGTAAACAGATTATTTCACATTACGTCTGAGATGCTGTGGACTTCAGGTTAAGAGATAAAGGTTTAAGACTTGAACTATGTATAGCTGTGCATTTGTTAACCCTTAACCTCTAAAAGTGATTAACATATGACTTCTCCCTACAGCATCCATACATTATCCAGCAAACAGGTAATGAGAAAACTCAAACTTATCAAGCGAAAGTTGTTATAATGATCTAACACCAAATTCCTTCAACTAGTTTACTAAGAAATGTGTAGCAGCTGAAGGGGAGAATTAACAATCAGATCTTAGGTTAAAGGTTTAAAGGAGAAACTTACCAACCACATCTCTCTTCCTGCAATGAGCCAAAAGATCAGCTTGATTGAGGTAGGGATGACACTCCACCTGTAGTACAGCAGGCTTTACACGGCTCTTCTCTATAATGTCATCAACTTGTTTACTGTTAAAATTTGACAATCCTATAAAACAGAAAAATTCAAAAATCACCTGAAGGCCAGTTATACTATTGACCATTAGAATATGTGTCATAGAATTAAGAAGACCTCCTAGATGCAAAATAATAATGATATGAAAAACTAATCTTTTTGGAACTGCTAGTCTTAAGAAAGATGTTCAAGCAGTGACAGATGGAAAGAGAATTTACACTGTGGGTTGCCTGGTGCCTAAAGATAGCACATGGGTCCGAAGATCCAACATTAATACTAAATGAATATAATAATAAGCATCTCATGTCTGTATTTCCTTCTTTTTTTTTTGTTAATTGCTGATGACCTAAGCTTTTTTCTCCTCTTCACTCTCTCTCAGGCAAGTAAAGGGTTACAAAAGCTTTCCCCTAATTGCTCCATTGATCTAGACAGTTCCTGAGATGGTTACTAGCACAGATGGCAAAAAAAGCATTTTTGGTCACTCCTAGAAGTGAAAGAGTAGACTCAGAATCCAACAAATGAATTATTGGCCAGTGAAAACCACTGTACTCAGATTTTTGACCAATGTATAGTCTTTTGGTCAAAATTTCCTGTTAAAACTGTAAATGCAAACTGTTGTAGAGCACATCAATGCAAATGAGTATTAACAATGCCTCAGCATCACTGTAAGTTAAGAAAATAATTAATACCAATAGCTTTAACTAAGCCTTCATCCACTAAGGGCTCCATAGCTTTCCAGGTATCACATGGATCATGATATGCATAGATTACACTTCCATCAGCTTCCTTAGGGAAAGGGTTATCACCATCTTCAAAAGATAATGGCCAGTGTATAAGGTAAAGGTCAAGGTAGTCTAGTTGTAGGTCACTCAGTGTGCGCTTCAGAGCAGGTAGCACATCTGCAGGGTTATGCTTTGTGTTCCATAGTTTAGAGGTGATAAACAGATCCTCTCTTTTCACCTGCCAATAAGAAATAGCATATAACTCTGAGATAAAATTTTTTTCATTAGAATTTGTTTGTGCCATTCTCCCAAATCCTGAGGTCTACAGGAACATGGGTAAGGAAAATCTAAAATGCTGCACCAAAAGAATTTCAAAAAAGGACAGAGGTCACAATCTAGCCAAGTGGCCCATTCTGCCTGAGTGTATCCCAGTTTCTGTGGTATGAAGTGACTAGGAGTATAACTACTCCTCCCTGGATAGGATGCTCATTCATCATAGCCCACCTCCTCCCGTAGCATTTTATCAGGTTTCTCTAAAAGTTTTCCAGTAACTATTTCTACTCCTAGGTGGGGAGGGGACAGTACCTATCGATACTCCTGGGTGGGGAGGGGCACTTTGAATGTTTAGTGTCTTGCCTGATGCAAGGACACAACTCATCAACCCAGCCTGGGCCAGGTTGTTCAAAGCTGGGTTAAGGTAACTTAGGGTTTGAGGGAAATCTGATTTTAGACCAAAAAGCTTTAAAATTAAAATTCAATATAATTATTTTTGCCTATAGTTTCATAACTGGATGCTCTGAAAAGAATTGAAAAAATTATTCAAAAGAGGCTTTTAAACAAAGGAATAAAGGAACTCAGATTAAAATTTAATTCTGTGTTTGCACTAATCAGCCTTCAGACAACCGAGCCCAGGTTTCAAACCCAGACCCCTTGCCCTGCAAGACTGCCAGGTCTCCTATCCTTTGTGTGCAAAAGAAGAGCCTTTTAAACATTCACAAATCCAAAGATATGTGCATATTTTCAGCCAAATCCATAAATCCAGCCTATTTTTGTTCTTTCAAATCTGGATCAACGCTATTTAAGAATTTTCTCTGATATGACTTGGTATCACCATGATTAAGTATGTATGTCTTGCTGTAAGGCAAGGTTTCTGCACATCCTTAAATTACACTGTGGATGCAGCTCTTAACTTTGCTAAAAGGAAATGATGGTGAGACAGTATATTTCCTTTAAAATTAGCCCTTTATGTATAGGTATACAAAATTCTTTTCAGCCTTTCTTTGGGTGTGAATAAATTTTATGCCCGTAAGACTAGCATTACATATTGTATTGCTTAATCGTCAGGGTTAGAAGACCAAGAAAGCTCCTCAAATAATTCGGTTTACGCCCAAAATCTGAATTGCTCAGTCAACGAGGCACCATTGTACCGACCAAATTTCAAGCGTTTCTAAGGGCCAAACACGCCGATCTGTAATGTTACAGATGTCCTCGTTACGCGAACCTCACCCATGAATACTTATCATATCCACTTCTCAAATCGCCGGTTCTAAAATGGTCGTTTCGGATAAAATATCCTCACCGTAGTTCCAATGCAAGCTTTTAGAGCCTCTCCTACTTCCTTTTCATTGCCATAAACTGCAGCACAATCTATATGTCTGTAGCCGGCCTCAATGGCTACTTTAACTGCATTGGCGACTTCGCCCGGTTTACTTTTCCAAGTTCCGAGGCCTAGCGACGGAATTGATCTGCCATTGTTTAACTTAATCGACTGCATTGTAATTCAAAGTCGGAAATGGTTCTATTCGTCTTTGCAAATGCCTTAAACAGCGAAAGAACTGTCGATTCAAAAATAATTATGACTAGGCTTTTTAAGTCAAGCGACACAAAGGCGTGGTCGCAAAGCCCCAAAGCTGGAGCGACAGAATGATACCTCGGTTGATCTGGGTCGCGATGGACTGAGTCCTTCAGAGAGGATATGACAGCATACTGAAAGAGTTGGGGGATGTTAAACTCGCTTGTAATAGAGGTTTGCTTTTAAAATGGGGAAGTAGGACTGAGAAATTTTTTGGTAACAAAAAAAAAAAGGGGGAAATAAAGGACGCACTTAATCACCTGTAAGAGCATCAACAAATGAGCAAAAACAAATCGGCCTTCCTCGACACCACAGTTGAAAAAAAAATTGATGGATGCCCAACCACCTGCGTATACAGGAGACTGACACATACTGACCAACGCCTAACGTATTGTAAAAAATTAATTTACCAAAAGAGGGCGAGGCTAGAGTCTTATCTCCTTAGAAAATATTTATTAAACTTGTTAAATGAACCGCAACAGTTGGCTAAAATAAAAACTCCGAAACGTCTTAAAATTCCAAACAAATGGATAACAAATTTGCGCGAAAGAAAGCTCAAAAACAACTAAAAACAACTCCGTGGAACAAAAAGAGTACGCAAAAAATATCCACAGCAGTTTTCCAATGTCATGGTTAGAGTTCTTTGACGTGATTGGCTTACTTATGAAAATCACGCGCCGCGTGTAAACACAAAAATAATGTAAAGGGTTGAAACGAAGATAAATTTGTAGTTTGAAAATAAAAAACGAAAGAGATTTTCTAAACGTATGATTCACACCCTCCACAATCAGTAAGGCGCGGTATTGTCAAGTGCTTTTACGAGTCTGCGAAACGTCTCACAACACAGCCCCCCCCCCCCCATTACGTTCAAGGAGAAGAAACTTCTGTCATCTATTCTTGTTTCTGATCGTTATCCTTCTTCTTTAGTGAAAGGGTAACAAAAACCAAGACACCGACCACCAGCACTGAATCCCCCACCGAGTTTAGATCCACAGCAGTTCTGCCCCATATAAAAGACCTCTCCGAATAACTTCGCCGCCGTCTACAACGACAGGGCATACGCGCCATTTTCAAGTCAGAGACTACGCTGCTATCACACCTTTTACGCCCGAAGAGATGCCGTCGCCCGGCTAAATAGGATGGCGTAGTCTACAAGATTCCTTGTGAGTGCGGGAAGGTCTACATCGGCGAAACTGGCAGACCCTTACAGGAGAGAATCAAGGAACACGATAGGGATATGCGACTCGCCAAGACGCAGACCTCCGCCGTTTTAGAGCATGCTCACAACAGCGGACATCGCCCGCTCTGGAACGAAGTAAAGGTCTATTGATCTTGACCCCCAGTTCTTCACACGCCGGGTCATAGGGGCAACTCGCATAAGACTTCGCCCTAACAACATCAACAGGGACAGTGGATTTAAATCCCAGAGGCCTGAATGCCAACATCAAAAAACACAACAGCAGGAGAGCTGTGCGGTAACAGACCATAGAGGGACCTGATCCAAATGTGCATCAGTCACGGCTGTGGAATTCGATTCAGTCAGAGCTGAGAACTACAGCATGTAGGTGACGCGTACTCAATTCACCTCATCGCCTGAAGAAGACTAACAGAGTGCAGTCCACGATCCACATCCAGAGAGACCACATTGTGAAACAAACGATTATATTTCTCTTTTGAAGGATTTTCCTTTGAAGATTTCGTATGAATGAAATAAAATAAATAATCGAAAAGAACCATTTTCAGAGTATGTAATATTCAGATCATTTTATAACCGTAAGCAGGGCCCTGCCCCTTTTTACGATGGCCCAGGATACCATGGCCCATACGGTGGCCCAAGAGGCTCAAAGCCCAGTTTTGTTTTGATTTTTTGACTATAAATCCCTTCTTTCTTATCCTTGCCCACATCTTACGATATCCCACAAAACAACCGCTTTTACCGAGTTTTTTCTCAATGGCACTTCTCAGTTCATCATCAGATAATTTTTCTTGATGATCCTAGTTAGAGAGATAAGCCTTCTTTTCAGAGTTGATATGCTCACCCCATGGAGCTTCGGAAATTCAAGTATTTCCAGATTACTGTAGCCTTGTCAGAAATATTGCAATACAAACTCCAGATAATCTTCAGCAGTTCCGTCATCTACTCTCTTACATGGCGTATATATTGGCAAAGGCATCTCTCGACTTCTTAAATCAGTTAGGACAAAATGGTAATGTTAAAATTCCCGCCAAAAGCCAGATTGCATAGCACATGAGCATGCGCATAGCTGTTGCGTCTCAACATAGAGAGCTGGTACCTAAATACTGAAAATTAAACAGGACTGCGAATTGAAACAAAGTTGGACTGTGAAAAAACAAAACTGGACTGTGAAAAAATGAAATTGGACTGTGAAAAAATAAAACTGGACTGTCAAATACAAAACTGGACTGTAAGCCTCCTAGGCCATGGTAGGTTAACATCACTGTGAGTAAATTTTGTTGCTAAGCTCCATTTTAAATAACTGTGTAATAAAATCACTCAAGCTGATTTGCCAACCTCACTAGCGCAGCGACGAGTGCATAAAATTCGCCAGAACAGGCCCACTCGGCGAATGCAAGGAGTATAGTATACTGGCTTATATCTAGCTTACCTGAAAATCATCGTGGCTTTACCTGATACACACATCTCACGCCTTACGTCTCGTGTCCAGTTACATAACAGTTCGTTATATAATGCCCTTTCATGGGACGTTTTATAAGTGAGGTGGAAGTCGCTCATAAAGAAGTCGGGCTCTCCAGGCGAAGGACTCAAACCAGAAAGTTTACATTCTGCACTTTCCATATTTGTGTTCCCATTGGAAAACCAAACTGATGCCAAAATACAAGATTTAGGCACAGCAGGTAAGTAACATTAACTGTAACGAAATATATAGAGATTTAACACTGAGTTGTTATATAAGAAAGCAGTTTTATAGCTAGATTCAAAAAGTTCAAAGTTAACATATTCATTGGTCAGAACAGCTATTTTATATATTATAGACAACACTTACTTTTGGCCTTCGGCAGTGATTCTAGAACTTTCGATTATCGTTGTAACCATTTACTATTCAAGTAAAATGTTTTTTTCTTTTCATTTCTATCCTTAAAAATTTCAGTTGTTGTCTCTCTCTGAAAAACAATTTTTTCACTTTTTTTTTCTACCCAACAATCAATATTCAAAATTGAAGTTACTTGGCTTATTGAAAACAAATCAACATGTTTTTGATATTCTGACAGTAATATTCCAGAGTGGTTGCCAGGTAAGGAATGTTTTCGAAGTACGGCCAGACGATCGACACGCCCCAGTTATGAACTAAAATATGTCGGAGAAAATCATCCTTTTAAATCTTCAACTATCAAAACGGGATAAATAAGATCGAAATAAAAGAACCATCGTACTAAAAAAAACCAAGCATTTAAATTGACAAATGTTGATCACTCTAAAAGCATCGTTTATCACTTAGAACGGCGGAAACACAGATGATCTCAAAAAAATAACCTTAAGGCGCAAAAACTGACAATTTTAACCGTTAGTCTTAGGAAGGGTTGACCTGGACCATTTTTAATGACAACAGTGGAAAGATGCGAACCGTTAGCCGTAAATTGGCACAAAATGTTAACCGTTAGCCGTAAAAGCTGTCACCACATTAAGACCCCCAAATACAGTAAGGACTTTTTTTTATGTTTTTGGTCGTTGCTGCCGTTTTTTTCTTTTTTTTTTGCAGAAAGAGAACCAACATAAAAATTCTAAATGCAAAAATTACTTTGTGATAGTGAACAAATCAATGATCAAGTCTGTTTGTCAGTCCACTGTGATACGCATTGTTCCGACAAGGCGCTAAGGGTCTTCTAAAAGATCGTTGCATGCTTTTTGCTCTCAAGTTTGTCGCGGCATTCACTTTGACGGCTATTTATGATTAGAGATCAAATTTTTTCTCTGCACAAATTGGCGAAAACGACTCATCGTCACAACGGAGGCATGCTGACCAAAATGTTCTATCCTTTCGATTCAGTTTTGGCCAGAACATAATGAGAACAAATTAACTTAAATGATCACAACAGCCAACCAACAAGTTCTCTGATCAATGACGTCTCGAGAAAAGGAACCGATCGGCTCTCCTCACTTCACATATAAACAAAAAAGACATTGTGTTTGAATCATACACTTATGTTCCACAAAGCGACTTTTATTTCATCAGTAGACTAGGAAAAGAATAGCGAGCAAAGAGAAATAACAATTTGATCAGTTGTTCTGTTTCATTGGATGAACTGAGTGGAAAAGATCATGTTTAAAAAATTGACCGTTCTCCAGTGTAGTTAATACAATTGACAGAGCCAGTTATTACATATCGCCTAAGGGGAGAGGGCAGTGAACTTATTTTGTTGTCACGAGAAAATTAACCTGATCCTTCCCTGGGGCTCTGCAATATTCTTTCGACCCTTTTTCCCCCCTCCCCTCATTAGCAGTCATGTAGTTCCCCATCTTATACTTTGGCGGCGGCGACGACTCATCCCCGCTTTGTTTCCCCTGAAAACAACGAGGGTCTCAATGGGGTGATGGCTTTTACGGCTATCGGTTAAAATTTTGGCCAATGTCCGGCTAACGGTTAACACCTTTCCATTGTTTCCACCAGAGATAATTTTTTACGGTTAACTTTTTTTACGACTAACGGTTAAAATTTTTCAATTTTTACGACTAACGGCTAAATATTTTGGCCGTTTTACGGCTAACGGTTATCCTCATTGGGACCCTCAACAACGTGAACCTTCGCCACAATCCAACACTACGCGCCGGCGATAAATTATGACTGGCTCTTACCTACGTAAGATGAATGCCTTTGACGCACATCTGTATAGAAAGGTGGCTACCAACAGTATTTGATTTTGGACTTTTCTGAGAGATTTTCGCACTATACAGCTCCCAAAATGATAGAAGGGGTAAGTTTTTAAAGAACCTGTAGTGCTGCGTCTGCGAGGGTTTAACAAGATAATTTCGTTTTATAAACCGAGTTGAGAAGTTTGAATTGGCCACCGTAAAGAGCTTCATTTTATTTTATTTAAAATTTCATTTTTCATTTCATTTTATTTTTATTTAAACACGGTCAATTCATCAGCCTGAAAAAATACATATCACATACGCTAGAATATTTAAAACTCAAACTATATACTATAAAACTAAAAGCTATTTTCCGTGAGTGCCGTGCGTTAGACTAAAAAATGTCATTGATCTTACGTTTAAATACCCCCAGAGACTCTGTGTTCCTGATATCGCATGGTAGACTGTTCCATAATGTGGCGCCATTGTAGCTAAAGCTTTTTCGGTAATAATTAGTGCGCGGTAATGGAACATTGAGCTGCTGGAGCCGACGCCGTCGGTTTCGAGCGTTAGCCCTTCGTCAGAGCGATTTCGGCTTTAGAACCTCTTTACGGTGGGCAGTTTACAGTGGGTCTCATAATATTCAACACAAGCGAATGCTGCGAATCCTCGAGGGAGGTTCCAGCCATGTTTAGATCCGACGAGTTTGAATTACAAGACGATTTTCAATAAATGTCTACTTGTTCATTTTAATTTCATAAAACACTGGTTTATATGCCTTTAAATTTTGCCTTTTTTTCTTTCTTACGAACGAAAATCTAATCGGTTTTATTGTATTTTCTTCGGATTGACCATTAAGCTTTTTGGTGCCGTTTCTGATTACAGTTAAAAGAGTGAAAACGGCTGAAGTGTTCAAAGGAGGACGAAGAAGACAAATGAGCTAAAAAACATGTTTGCTACAGTATTTTTTGGCTTTCTTGCTGTTCTGGGCTTCACTCTCAATACTGTCACGGTACTGACTTTCACCAAGAATCGTAAGCTTTTGTCCGCGGCAGATATACCAGTCCTTAGCATGGCAGTAGCTGACAACGTTTTGGCCACAATTGCAACGCCATTGGCAGCATTTGCAAGCGCCCACGAGAGGTGGCCGTTTGATTACAGCGGTTGCAGTTGGTACGCATACTTCAATGTTACCGTAGGCCTTGGTTCTATCTTACACCACGTGGCCATTGCAGTTGAAAGGTGCTCGAAGACTCATTTTCCAATGTCAGCAGAGGTCACTCGAAAGAAGATGTCAGCAATCATTAGTCTTATTTGGGCATTAGCCTCGATCTGGGGAATCTTCCCACTGATTGGCTGGTCTGCATATGTCCCAGAAGCCAATGGGATATCATGTTCTCTAAGATGGAAGTCAATCAACACCGCTGACACTTCTTTTGTGATTTGCACTTTCACCTGTTTCCTATTACTGCCCTCTTTTGTACTTATAGCATCCTATGCCATCATTTATTACGACCTTCGACAAATGGAAAAAAGATCAAGGCGCAACTGCGGTAAAAAATCCCAGCAAACGCTAGAAACTGTTCTCGCTAAAAAGAGATTAACCTTAACAACATTCATTATGGTTGTGAGTTTTCTAATTGTTTGGTCGCCTTACGCAGCCCTGTCCTTTTATAAGGCATTTTGGAAACCAGTAACTCTGTCCCATTCAGTATCTACGGCCCCTTCCATTTTTGCCAAAACCTCTCTTTTCATTAATCCTGTTACATATTTCATTCGTTACAAAAGATTTAGAAAAGGCGTAAAGAAACTTTTTGGGAAGATGTTTTCTTGTGGAAAAGGCGACTCCACAATGCAGCAAAAGCTGTAAGCGAAATTGTAGATAGATTTAGAAAAGCCATAGACAACAATTTATACATTTGTGGAGTATTCATAGACTTTTCGAAAGCTTTCGACACCATAAATCACCAAATATTGTCGATAAAACTAGAGAAATATGGAATAAGGTGAGTTCCCTTAGAATAGTTCACGAGCTAGCTTGATAGTAGGCAGCAATGTGTGGCTATAGAATCGCTAAAACGAAAGATGATCTGCAGCACTCCGCAGGGTATGCCATTACGGCGTCTGGTCAAGGCGCCTGACTTCCAAGATTTTTCTGATGACCTCGTCAGCTCGCGACATGAAAACTTTCGAAGTTTTCATCAATTCTGAATTAAGAGAACTTAAGGAATGGTGTAATATTAAAAATAATTCTACTAAACTTAACCTCGGGCAAAACCAAGCATTTGTCAGATCCCCAAAAATGTATTTGAAAGTGTAAATGTAAGGTTGAAAGACATACGTGAATTATTCCGTCTTATAGAACAAAATATTTTGGGTGCTATACGATGGTGGATTCATTGTCTCGGAAAGAAAGTCTTAATGGGGTTATCTAAGAGCCAAAAAACGGCCAAATATTTTACCGTCGGGCGTAAAAACTGACAGTTTTAACCGTTGGTCGTAAAAAAAGTTAGCCGCAGAAAAATTCCTGATGAGAACAATGAAATGATGTTTACCGTTAGTCGTAAAATTGCCAATATTTTAAACGCTATCCGTAAAAGTCATCTCTCTATTGAGACTCTCTGGAAATATCACATCTCTCTCTCGGAATACAAGTGTAATTTCAAATTTCCCTAATTAGTTAATTTAGTCAATTTATTATAATCTTATTTATCGCAATCAATCAGATATTTTCAAATTAAGAATCTTTTTATTCATCAAATGCTTGGCGAAGGAATAACTTGAAAACTTCACGGTTCTTCTACCTTCTAGGTTTCAGTTGTGATCAAACTACGGTTTTTGAATATTGCCTGTTGATCATAAGTAATTTTATTATCATTTCACAGTAATAGCTCTTACAAGAAATAAAAGATTTGTTGTTTATTATTTGTTGCTTATCATTCCGGTTTCAGTCGATTAAGCTTTTTCGGTTAATTGTGCTAATACTCGTTCAAACTCCCGGGTGAAGTAAAGAACTTCGCAGTAGTGAAAATAAGGCCTGAAAAACTATTCAGGCCTGTATGGGATTTGAACCCATGACCTTTACGATACCGATGCAGTGCTCTACCAACTGAGCTAACAAGGCAACTGGGAGTTGGTCATCACGTTGGTTCCAATTAAACCCGTAAAGTGATGAATAAATGACAGTGAATAAATGAAGATCACTTTATTCATTCATTTTTTAAAAAACCGCAGTTCACGTATGATTTTTATATATTCACTGTCATTCACAGAACTTTGATTGAGTTAACGGTCTCCTCCAAAAGCACAAAACGATAACCCAGGTTCAGGCTTGTACCCAGATCTTTGGACGTGTCCACAAGCTTTTCATTATTTCAATTCCGAAAAAAGCAATAATGATATTCAATGGCAACTCTCATAATTGCTTTAGAAAACAGGTTTTGAAAATGCGAATAAAATTTTCCTCAAGTTCAAATTCCTCATTTTAAGTACTTGCACAAATAAAGATATTTGTAAATTTAAAGTGCGAATCATTTTCAGATGCTAATTTATAGAGCTTCTTTACTATTCAACCTAGTCCCTAATCTCTCATGTCTCGTTGCTCGCGTAAAGTCTGGAATGAGGCTCTGAATCTTTTTAGTGACGTCACGACGCACAGTATGGTATAAATCAGCAGAAAGGAGCTTTGAGAGAAATACCGGGAACAATAATGACTCGGCACCACTCGGTTTTCCACCAAAATTCTGTCACGAAATATTTAAACCGCCTTCATTGGATGAGCAGCGTTGTGAATCGCAAATGAATGTAGCTAGGCTTACTCCCCAGGCTTTATCTCTTCCCTTGGTATCCGCCCACAGTCTGGTAACGGACGTATGAATCTTTACAAGTAACGCTTCCCCACACACATGAAAAAAAAGAAAGAAAAAAAAAAGACGGAAAGACGAAAAAAAAAAAACAAGAAAGAGAGAAAAAATAGAAACAAGCGAAAAAAAAAAGACAAAGAAAGAAAAAAAAAGAAACGAAGACATCTGCATTTGAATGATTTGCAGTTCTATGTCGCAACCCTCAATTCCCCATAAATATTTAAGAGAACTATTATGCAAAATTGGAAAGTAGACAAAGCGTGTTTTGGGCAATTTGCAAATAGCGAAAGCTTCAAGTTATCACTGTGTATATCGGTCAGACAAAACCAATGCCAAATATTCTGGGCTTCACATTTCCCCCAAAGAGGGAACAAAGGCTCTGAAACTGGTAAGGTGTCATTTTGTTCACATCATGTTTTATTTCTAGGTACTGTTGGGATAATCTGATGGATACAATACAGACACAGCGTTTCATTAAAAATTAGTATATCTCAAACGATTCTATTCCCTGTGACTTGTGAAAATAATTTGTAACATAATCACCTTCCCATAAAAATCAATGAAAATCTCTTTTAATCGAGGATTTCATTTTAAATGTTTTCGCAATACCAAATAAAACCAAAGGGTAGTGATGTTGTTTTTTTTTTTTTTTTTTTTTTTTTTTTTTTTTTCGATGACAAAATAAAAAAAAATTATAATAGATGCGGAATATTCCAGCCGCACTGAAAGTATTTCCAGACGACACTTAGCATTTTGTCAAATTTTCAACATGTACAGTCTAGGGTGATATAAATTGCGTGTGTTTGTGTTTCTTTTTTCAAGAATCCTCAAACCTCCTTTGAAAAATTATGTCGACTTCAATCCTTTGGATTGCACCGCGATGGTCTTTAAAAACTGTCATCGTTTTTGAGCCAACCTGAGTCTTTCTCACAACCTGTTGGATAAATGTTCCTCAGCCAAAATGTATTTTAATCATTTTAATTTAAGAATGTTTGCTTTGTAATAAGAGCGGAAAAAAAATCAACGGTTATTGGCTTGTAGCTATCAATAGCCTTCTCATGATCACCTGTATCATTTCTGTGTCCGAATTCTGATGGATCTGAAAGATAAAGCATCCCAGCTTCTACTTTGTCAAAATTCTCGTGAAAAAAGAAGTTGTAAAAAAAAAATGCTATGTGATTTTTTAGGTTTCGATAATAGCTTTGGAAGTTGAAATTGTTCTCACAGCAACTGCGGTATCGACAAAAATGTGTGTCCTATGTAAATGTAACAAATAACACGAGGAATAAAACAGAATAGATGATCTTCTTTTGATTCAGTGGGATCAAAAGGGAGATCTCACTAGATAATTAGTCATGCTCGTAGCAGCAATTGACACCTTTACGTTTTCTAATGAGTTGGAACCAAAGTCTACTTTGTTTTGAGGTGATTTGGAAGATCTTTAATTCTAACTGGTTATTAATAACTCTTCCTAGAATGAAAAGGGATATAAAATTATATATGGTAATTGTACATGAAAATTCTGTAATTAGTAAGTGATGGACATAAACCTGTAGAAACCACGAAATCACTCTGAGAATTTAACATATCCTTCGTTGTGTCAACTAAATTAAAGCTCAAATGTCGATATGTTCCGCAGGCGTTCAAAAACCTTGATGTTGTTAACATTACAGGCTTCTACAAAATAATGCAAAAAAGGACGGTGCGATAAAAACAAATTATGGCAGTCTCTTCAATTTAGTTCATGAGGACCATGGCTGGCGAAATTATCGAAGTCCTCGATAAGAAGATCTACTATACGATCGCTGCTGTCTACATTCTGACTATGCTGACGACAATTATCACCAATAGCATCGTGATCCTAACTTTCTACAAAGTTCGTTGTCTCCTCACCCCTTCAAGCTTACCAATACTTAGCTTGGCCATGGCCGACCTGGTACTAGCCGTAACTGTGATGCCATTTGGAATTGTCGCAAATGCCAACAGGATCTGGTTGGTAGGTGATTTTGGATGTCACTGGTACGCGTACGGTCACACTGTGGTTGGCTTTTCTTCCATTCTGCACCACGGTGTTATTGCTGTAGAAGCCGCCAGAAAAATTGTGAGAGGATTACGAAACGCTGGAGCTCGAAGGCGTGGAATGATCACCACTATTGTGGTTGTCTGGGCTGTTGTGCTTGTTTGGGGAACAATGCCTTTGATTGGTTGGTCATCATATGGACCTGAAGGCAGTGGAGCTGTGTGTTCCATCAACTGGAAATCCACTGATCCAACTGACGTCTCTTTCGTGATGATCACTTTCGTATTGTTCCTGTTTATTCCGGTTATCATTATTATGGCTTGCTATACTGCTATTTCATACGATTTGCGAAGGATGGCAAGGATAGCCGAGAAGCAATGGGGACGTAAAGCACAAATGACCATCGCTCGCGTATTGGCGAAGAAAAAGTCAATGTGGACTGGTCTGATCATGTTTGTGGCTATTTTCTTCGTCTGGATGCCATATGCCATTATTTCGTTTCTCTCAGTCATTGGTACCCCAGAAAAAATCCCTCCTTTGGCTTTCGCCTTAGCAGCTATGTTTGCCAAGACCTCAACATTTGTAAATCCTCTCATTTGCTTCTTCTGGTATCATAAATTTAGAGATGGGACCAAAAGGATATATAAAAATTCAAAGAGGATGGCATCCCTGCAAAAGGCATGGACCACTTCTTGTAATGAGGCAGCTTGTGAAATTCATTTGAGAACCAACTCTTACCCATATCATTCACCTGACTTCAGACAAGTGAGGTAAAACTGAACCACGTCCATTCCAACTGGGGGATAGCCCTCAAGTACGACCACTGAACATCCAGTAGGGAGCAGTGGAACAATAAAGCTCTATTTACGTGCAAAAGCTTCGCTGAAACGGAGTTACAGAAACGGCAAACGACGAACGGGACACAGGAAGACTAGGAGATACGTTTAATATTTAGAGAGACCGACAAAAAAACGGAGAGACAATGACAGTCGCAAAAAAAGACGGATCGGATAGAATAACATTCAAAGACATCTATGTTTCACCAAGCTGAAAATTTCTCTTCATTAAGTTGATTTTACCTATTTAATTAAGAGAACAATCCAGTAAAAGTTGAGGAACAAAAGGGAAAACGGAGACTTTTCGAACAAGATCGAGAAGGAGATTTTATGTATAGGTCGAATCCTTTACAAGGATATTTACAGCCACATATTTCATACTGATTTACATATGTTTATTAAACTACTCGTCGTGTTCAAGGTACATTTATTGATATATATGTCATGGATTAATGTAGGGTCATATCATTTGACCAACATATTTACAAACTTGTTTTGACCAGTTGAAAAGGGGTTAAAGGTAAGGAGCATCCGTTCTCAAGCATTTGGTGATAATGAATACGATCTATGTAGTCAAAATCGTAACCGTTTTTCGTTAGTCAGTCGCGCCAATCATGCAAAATTGTTAATCTTTGCACAAACTTGACCCTAAATTTTCACAGTTAATTTTCGAGTTCAGTTCTAGTCGATCCGATGGGAACAATCAATTGTTCTCAGCCTAAAAGAGGGTTTCTCGATGTGTCACCGTACAGTAAGAGATGTAAGAAGCTTGAAATATCATGGTATCCTATTTGGTCAAGGGCGAAGTTTACTTCTCCAATCATAAGCATGCAGACGCAGGCTTATTTTCTGGTAATCCGTATGAAGACGTTTGATTAATGATATCCGTTGATAATGTGAGTCTCCCTATGCTCTGCCAGCTTTGCATGTTTTCCATAAACAGCCCTGATTTGTTGGACCCCAAACTGACCGTACACAAAGATCTTGTCACTTGAGTAACCCAGCGTTCTGAGCCCCTGAAGTACTCCCAGGACCATACGGGGCCCTCCGCACACAGCCACACGATGGCTAGACTCTTCTGGGAGGGGAAGGGTACTAGACAAAAACTTTGCATCAATATAACCTTCTCCTCCCTTCCAATCATCACAGTCGACTTCAAACACCGTGAATGAAGCTGTAAGACGTTTGTCATGTAAGGCGTATTTCTGCAATTCTTGGAGGTAAGGTATATCAGCTGGTCTGGCGGCACAGAGGACCAGGGTTACAGAGGTCTGGTCTTTAGGATTAGCCATTATTTCACGTATAATCTGAACAGCAGGCTGGCAGGACATACCTCCCACCACCAGAGTCAAATACTTGGTAGAATTAGGCTGATACTCGTATCCACCGCAAGGTCCGCGAAAATCTGCGGTATCACCTGAAGAAAAGATCAAAAAGTTCTTTGGATTTATTTTACCCAGGCGGTTATCATTGCCGATAAAAATAGTATTCGACACAGACGATACTGCTTAGTAGCAAACCATCTTCCTTTCTCGAGAGAGAGAGAGAGAGAGGACCCCGGGAACAAGGCTAGGTACGCAATTTGACATCATAGCGTCAAACTGACGAAACGACTTTCAAGGTACTTTTTAAGTCTATTTCTATATTTGCGTGTGAAAATGAAGGAAAGAAAAAGAATCACCTTAGGTTTAATTATTATTGTAGGGGAAAAAGATTGGTAAACAACATTTATTTGGTTCAAGAAAATTTCCTCTAGGGTTTTAAGGAATACTACAACGACACGTAAGCGCCGTCGAACTCTAGTTAAGATAATCCGTCCCACAAATTTGATGCATTGGAAAATAAAGAACGAAAAGCCTATGTCAGTCTTAGTCTTAGTAGACGAAGGCTCGTCGTTAAAGTAGGAGCTGGATCATGAAGCATGTTGTTCACTGAATTTTCAGAGTATAGGTTTACATTTAACTTCTAAATATTTTGTTATGTTATTCTCACCAATTTGAAGAGCACGGATGCAGTTGGAGAATATTCCATTGGTCTCATGTTTCAACAAGAGCGAAATTTTGCCCAATTCTTTTGCGCGTGATACAGGGGAGAGAAACCTCTGATGTTTCCCAATCCTCACCAGGACGTATTGACCAGGGAAGCATCCAGTGAAGTCTGTAGCCTGGGGAAGAGAAAATGTGTACTCGGCAAGCGTTTCCCCGAGAGGTTTTACTGAGTGTAGTTTCAGGGCGGTGAACTCGTTTGGTCTGAGAGAAGGGTTGCGAGACAACTCGTCATCTATGTCCAGAGATTTCAACATAGTTGGAGGACTGGTGTTGAATGGATTTTCAAACTCCGAGTCTTGGTAAGAATTCTGAAGCTCGATGTTGTGGTTGAAATCGTTGTCTTCATTACTGGCTTCAATGAGAAGTTTGCGCGCCAGTTCTTTCTTTTCTTCTGCACTTAGCTTCCTCAGTTCTGAATTAAGCACACGTGTATCAGAAACCTTCCCCCTGAGAATTACAAGTGAGAGAAAAAAGTTATTTTCAAATACACTGCAGAAAATGAAGAAAGTCACTCGCCCAAGGCTCGCACTCAAACTTTTCGATCTGGAGTCCAATAGGCCTTTGTGTTTTCGAACTTGATGACGAAACGGAAGAATAAAACTGAAAAGATGACATTCTTAAAAAGCAAGAAAACTAATTCACAGGGTCGGAACAGTAAACTTTACTCACGTAAACTTTTCGATCATAACAAAAAGCATTTACCCAAAGTAAAAGCAGAGTCAAACTCGAACAATGTAATAAAATTTCAATCATCTATTTCGAATAAACTTCTAGTTAACTAGTGTGGACATGAATGAATTAGTACCAGGATAGATTATTTACCAGAGGTCCAAGACTTCCAGCCCAAACAGGCTCGTTTTTCCAACAATTTGTCTGAGCACCTCGTTACTGGCGCCCATTAACCATCCTGCTTTGCCATCCCGGAGAAGGCGTTCCAGACCTACAATGCGCATGAACCAAACATGATGAGTTTCTTCATTATAAAGTTGAAGTTATCTCTATAGTCGGGTTACTTTGCGATGAGGATATTATGTTTTTACTACCAAGTTCCCTCATGATAGAGAGAGAGAGAGAGGTACTATAATGGGCAGGAGCCCCTGCATAAATGGAAAGTACAATAAGCCCCACCAAGGTCTGTTATCAGTCCAGTACCTAGGCATTCCTTACTCGGTTAAACATGGACGTTTGAGTGAGCGTGGGAGACTGGTAAAGAACAGCCCTTCCCAAACTACGCACGCTTACAGCTAGGATTCGAAGTCCTGCACAAAAGCTGAGAGCTTCCCCCCTTCTATTGAAAACAGCCACCCTTCAGCCACTTATTCAGCCGCCTAAATCTGCGAAGTCTGTGAGATACACAGATGTCTTAGACTTCCCAGCTCCTCGCCTCTTTTCCGTCACCTTGAAGAACCCGCTTTTCTTGATAGAACTTTTTAGTTACAGAGAAAATCACACACCCAAGAAACCGAGTCTTCTTTTTGTATGCCACTTAGTAGCCTCGCTTAAGTTGACACTGAAACGAGGCTACTAACAAACAAGGCTTATTGTTAAAATAATTTTACCCACCAAGTTCTTTCTTATATCCAACTCCACCACAGGCGTGCATCATTTCATTTGTGACGGCATCAACGTTAGAAGCTGCCTTGATTTTGACTTGAAAACACCAATGATGGAACTGACCGCGACTACAGAAGGAATAATATAAAGATTTACAAATAAACGCTTAAAAAAATTCCCGACCGATAAGTTATTAGAAAATAGCATATGTTTTAACAAAAATGGGAGACGTGGTGGAATAGTTTGATGGAGGTGTATTTTATGCGGAATGTGATCGACATGTCATGATGCGATATGACCGTCACTAGTATGATAACTCAAGTGATTATACAGATTCTCGCACCCGGCGAGAACAAGGGCCTTGTTGGTCAAGAAGTGCGCCAGGACTTGTTATAATCACTCCACGTGAGGTCATTATGAAACATATTATAACATGAGTTGGTGTGACATATATGATATGACGTAAATTGACGCAAGGTTGACTAAAAACAACGTGAAGAAGCGTGAGGTGAAGTGGCGCCATGAAACGTAAAGTGACCTGAATTAACTTTATGCAACGTTACGTTATTGTAAGATCCCCTCTGATTTAGGGTTTGAAATAAGAGTGGAATCTATGACATACATAGGTGCCATGAACGGTTGTTCATATATGGACCAGTCGTTATCATTGGTCACTCGATCCATGGCTTGTGCCACACTGAACAGCATCATACGGCTGCAGTTGGTTTCTGTAAGGGATCTTCCAAAGTAGTCCTGTTCAGAGAGGAAAAAAAGATAGAGAAAATAGCCGGTTTTAGTAAGCTTGATAACAAGGATTCCATAAAAAACATATAACTGACAAATAAAGATTAATAGAAGAATGTAAATAATGAAGGAAAGAGAATGGAAACGAAAGCGTTTTGTTTAGTTTAGTTAGGAGGTTATAGAGTCTTCTTCTCTCAATCCAAATAGAATATCAGAAAATAGGGACGGGAGAGGGGGGCACCAGCATGTTACCTGTATAACTGGATAGTCCGCCACGCGCATCCCCTTATCGACATGTTCTGTTCTAATCACGTGTTTTTTGGCAATATCCATAGAACCCAGGGAAATTCCGTTCCAACAGGCCGAGCTGAATAGTAGGAAGTATGGGTCGATGACTTCATGTGCAGCTAATGGAAATTCACCTATTTATAAAGAACGAAACGAGGTTCGGTTGCATACGCATAGAAATGTAATTTATCAACAAACAAAGATTGTTGAAATCAGCTTATCACGAACGTGAGACAAAGTAAAAGTTTAAGTCCCCCGCGAGCTTAGGAAGATCAAACTTTCAGATCTTGTGGCCATGTGTTGTACCAGCTGAGCTACAAAAAACTTGCTGATGAGCGAGGCCATCACTGGATTCATATGCGATAAGTGTTCAGCATACTGCTGGTATTACAAGGGCGGATCCAATAATTTTTCATATTGGGGGTCCAAATTTTTATTTACACCATAGCTTAAATCACGTAATATATGATACAGGACAAGTAAGTATTGAATACTATTATGTAGTAACATACGATACTGTAGTTGCAAGAATTTTAATTTCAGACAAGTACTAAGATAACCCTAGTCTCGTGCCCAGACCTTTCACGGCCAGTTACACGGTAGAATCTGGGTACGAGATTAAGAGAACCTGTCGGTCTAATGGGGGTGGGGTCGGTCCCCCCGTGATTCTCCCCCCTAGATCAACCTATAGATCAGAGATTTCAAAAGCGTCCTGTGATGATGAAATCTATTAGTGGAAATGCAATAGAATGCTCTGGTCCAGTAACACTTACCAAAGGAACCAACAAGTCTGTCTGGTGACAATAGACCTTCACAAACAACAGGGCTAGACTGGTTACCGCGCATGCCCAACGCTGACCAGTCATCGGTGCTGGAACGCACTTCGTTCTGTTGAGTTTCATAAAAACATGATGATGGGATCAGCATACGAGATCGTAAAAATTATCGCCTAGCCTGGATGGGGAGCATACAAATAATAAAATATTATCGTCTATGTCACGAGTAAAGTCACTTTGGAAGTAGATCGCAAGATTCCAGTCAGTCTTGACTAGGTGATGACGTCAACTTATGAAGCCCGATACGCCTTTTTGACTGGTTGCTTTTCAAAATAAGTAATTGACTAATTTCCATTTCGAGTATTCGATCCTTTGGTCAGTTCAATGCTCTATGGCTCTCGTGTTGTTGTTTGTTTCTTTGCTTTTTTTTTCTCTTTTTCGTTATTGTGGGCATGCATGCCATGCTCCTGGAATGTCTATATTATTTTTATTACATCACAAATAACCATTTGAAGAGACAAACGAGAACACTTTTCTTTTATCAACGCACAAGGTTTACCTTAAACATAAGAAACAGACTCAGATTCATATAGTCTCCTCCGAATGATGGACTTGTACTTTCAACAACGTAGAAATCTGCAAATCCAGCGCTTGTTACCCAAGCACCGTGACGTAAAACTTGAATGGTGCCGTCATCATATTGCTTAGCTTTGGAGTTGAATGGAAACCAATTATGTCCGCCTATGAAGAGACAATAGATAGGTACGCATTGTGCACGTGAGTCATTTGCAAGAAGGTTAGCGAAAGAATAGAATATTGATGAAATCTATCATTTGTTTGGTCTTCTTCTCAATGGAGACAATTGCATGACAATTGACGGAAGGATAAGAGAGAAATTTTATCACCGACGTTCAGTTTTTTCCTTCTTTCAATCTTTATTTAATTATGAAAAACTTTGTGTTGGGACTCAATTATTGAGCGCACTCAGCAGGAATAGCTGAAAGATGTGCGTGCACGCCTTTTATCGATAAGGCCTTGGTTCGATTCACATCTACATAGAGTGTGAGAAATTTATGATGATTTTGTTGTGAAATCATAATATTTAGGGGGGCTATCTGCTGATTTACCTCCCTCAGCAAAAACGAAACAGCCAAAATCGGAAATTGTGATTTCGACTTGGAATCAGGAGACAGAGAGCCACATCCTGAATGTAAAAATATTAAATTCTTATATTTATCTATTAACTTTTTAACTCCAAATTCATTTCATCACTCCTCTATATTACATTTGCGTACCTGTCGCGGGGTCACTGAACACCAGGGTGCCAATCAACTTGTCACTGTCAAGTCTTCTCAGCAGATCTTGGATTGTTTTGTTATTGTGATGTCGGAATAGCAAAGAAGCGACTGCACCTAAATGCATAACTGCAAAACGAAGAATACAAAAAGTTTATGTGAACTTTTGATAAAGACGCCCCAGTACAGTTTTGCTATGGCAAATCTTTGATGGATTTATGGTACCACTATTTTTCATGAATTTACTTGAAAGCAGTGTGATACAAATGCCAAACATTTTTTATCATGTCATCATTTTCCCTCATATAATATATGGTTACCTTAAAAACAGTGTCTCCCTCTTAGAATTACTCTCAAATTTAGGTAAATATACCTGTTACTCTTAAACAAATTCAATGTCTCGTTTATGGCAGAATTTGTGCTTCTCGTGAAACGAGGACTCACCATAGACCATTGCAGTGCTTGAACAACCATATCGTGCTATTGTCTCCACGACCATTGCTGCACACACGTGACTCTGTCCCAGGCCACCAAACTCTTTAGGCACGATAAGTCCCAAAAGACCAAGAGAAGCCAAGGCATCCATGCTCTTCCTTGGAAATGTATAAGTATCATCGCATATTGCCTAAATATTTATTGGAACACTTTTAGTTGGCATATAACTAAAATGTCTCATTTAATGTGATGATTAGGTGTTTTTGGTATTGAGGTAAGGGACTGGTCATTTTTTTTATCGTCCATCCGTTCCCCTGAAAACCATGTGACCCCCCTTAACCCCCCCCCCCTCCCTCACCCTAGCGATACATGAAAACTGCTCCTTAAGGCTTCACGAGTAATGTGGCTTCACTGTGTTCTTAGCTCCTCTGTTCCTTCCCTGAAAAGGGGGGGGGGGGGGTGCCCTTAACCTTTTGTTCACATTTTCTCATAGGCGAACGTCTTGGATTCAATATACTTTGAATTTTTATCGACTTTCATTTTGCTGCTGAAGAGTCATTAATCATCTAATAACCTGCCTTTCCTATAGGTCATACTTAATATTTCACCAAGGCATGCACCACTGATTGGCGTGGCCGTAGCTACAACAACTCTTAAACTCAATGAGACCGCTGAACAGAAAACGCAGCACATACTCGAGTTCCTTCCAGAACTATTACCGACGATTCTTGCTTTGTACCTAGTACGTTAACCCTTTAAAATCCAAGAGTGACCAGCATCTAATTTTCTCCTTACAGTAATAGCGCTGAATCCTTCATTAAGATTATGACAACGAACGAAATGATCGCCAGCTTATAAATCTTTGTCTTTTAAACGAATTCTCCTTACCAGTACCAAAGAAAATTTATACAGAAGAGTGTGGAGAATATTGATACTGATGTTAGGGTGTATAGGGTTAAAAAAAAAACTACAGGGAAACAATAAAACGAAGCAAATAACTTTACATCGTTTCCGGCCGGTTCAGCTCATTAGATAAATGATTTGTTTACAATGACATTCATAGTTTCCTTGATTGTGGGCGCGCCAATCTAATTGTGGTCGGTCAAAGTCGTTTGGCTCAATGTGAAAGAAATATCCGATTTAGTCATGCCAGGAAAATGATATTTGATTGTGTTTTGGATTTCCTTTGTCGATTGATCCTTCCACGTCCGTCTTTTGTTTTGTTGAGTAGATTAGACGATTTTCCAACCCCTTGATACGAGGTGATCATACATCCATGACTTACACCATCTCGTGCTCAAAACGGGATCAGGCTTCTGGTAGATTTCGAAGTATTATTACTGGCTGAGAATGAGCATGAAACAGCTAATAGGGCTTTGAGTTACAACGAGGAAGATAAGAAGCAATGTTTTTAAAGAAATACTCAGTTCTTATTTGGAATTGAATCTCAGAACTTCTTTCTATCAGTCTGATGTTATACCTACAAGCCACAGAAAGTTCTTGAGCGAGTCATGATGCCACGCCGAAAGGAAAGAACTATGAAATTGTGGCTATGAAGTTCTTTAATATAATGAAGGACAGTCTATGCTTTTCTTTGTCAGAGTAGGCCTTTGATCGTGTATTTAATATCTCTATAAGCTTATTTACTCACTCCAAACTATTTCCTGAGAATTGAAGGAATTTTGCTTAATTTGATACTGGCATGCGGGCAGACGTGCGCCCCCCCATGATAATCACAATTACACCAGCTTGAACTCAAAATCGTACGTCTTTTTTGCAACTTTTTAACCTAATCCTCTCTCTTGTATAAGAAGACACGTTTTATGTCTGGAGTTTCAGTTTGCTGGCATTTGTACATTTTAAAACCCAATGAGACAGTTTCAAGTCTCCCGATAGTGATGGCAAAGAATTCAAGAAAGCAACCTTTGGATCTCAACATCTGCAGAAAAAATTTTCTAAGCCTCTCGTGATTTTTGCGATGTCAGAATACCTATAGGAAAGGCAATTGATAACGTCAAAAAGATAAGATAAGTCCTCTGTGAGAAATAAACTCCTAAAGATAAATTTGACAATCTTAGGGTTAAGCCCAGACGCCAATATCCATCGGGACCAGCCAAAGCGTGTTATTTAAATAACAAATTATCTTTTAGAACTTATTTGCGACTGAACAAGGCCACTATTTTAGCCCGAAAACATGCAGACCAAATGAAATTAAGGATGATATATGGCTTTGTTGATTGTAATAAAGACACAAACCCTTGGAAAACAAATCACTGGGTTGATGCACGTTGCTTTCATATTATGACGAAAACAAAATTCCAGCACGTAAAGATATGCGTTTCAGGGTGCAACACAATATAAAAGAAAGTGTGGCAATTAGATCTGTATGGGAAAAATTTTCTCATACGACTCATCTGTCATTTTAGAGCGAGAAACCGATACTTCTTCATAGCTTTTTCCCAATCTTTCATGAGTGACAAGCTTATTAAAAGATAAAAAATTTGTGTCAATTTTAGGTTGCACTCAGTATCGAATCAAGGACAAGTAAATCCGAGTCGTCCTCCCACAAAATCATAAGCCAAACTTGTCCCTATTTAGCAAATTTTTGAAAGCTTCTGGCTCTCCATTTCTTAAAGTTTCTCAACAGGTATTTTTCGTTTATTTCCATGGCGAATTGATTATATCCCCCTCCAACTTATGCTTGATTTGTTTCCTTTCCCACAAACAAGGGCGCTCCTTCGTATTGTTCCGATTTGCTCAAGTTCTAAGTGGTCTAGAGTTATAACAGTACATGCGATGTCGAAGGAGTCATGCTGTGTTTGCTTCACCGCCAAGGCGAGATAGTCATGGCCCCCCTTAAAATACACTTAACTTGTTTCCTTTGCCAAGGAAAAGGGCGTTCTCTCATATTGTTTTAATTTTCTCACGTCCTGGGTGGTCTCGATTTAAAACCGTACATGCGATCTTGAACGAGTTATATTGTGCTTGTTTATCGATTTTAGGGGTCTTTTCTTCTAGAATCAGGAATCATGGTTTTAGACGAAAACATGACCTAACTGTTGCAAACTAGCAGAAGATTGCCTATAATTTAGCCAAATAAATATTATTTTCGAAAGAGGAAATTTTTCGTAATCATGACTCGATAGTTATCGTGATCATGAAACTTCACCGATAATGCAACGTGGAAAAATTTTTGTTTTAAGAAGAATTAAATCACCATAATTTCTAGACATTTGAAGTGCGCTCATCGAGAGCTGCGATGTCAGCAACAGATAATTCGGAAAAGGTCACGATTCAGAAATCTTTGAAAATAAATTGTTTTTCCTGTTTTCAGATATCAAATAAAAATATGTGAAGTTCGAGAAGTGACTTGATCAAATCAATGCGGTTCGTTCGAAACTGACCCAGATGCAAGTTTATGAACAAAGATTGGAGTTTTTTAAGAAGAAAAACAACTGTATAATGACATTCTGAAATCATACTTCTCTTGCTTTCATCTTCGCGTATGAGACCTAGAATCTTCGCATAAATTGACGATATTCATAGTTCTGTTTTTTATCATTCTTTGGATTTTGTAATTGACCTTTCTTTGACATAGACAAAATTATTTCACGTACATGTAATTTGAATTTTAATTTATAGTATCGATTTCAAAGAATTATTTGGGGGGGCGGGGGGGAATTCGGGTGGAGAAGGGAAAGGGGGATGGAATCATCAGTGGCGAATGTAACACGACTAAGATGCAAGACCAAACTTTTCCCCACCCCCTTGGAAAGGCGTTGAGCACCCCCTCGCGTCGAAGTATCAACCATATGCACCCGTTAAGGGACATCATTGATAATTATTTCCGATAACATGACATTTTTGTTGAAATAGATAACTGTTCTCACACGTAAAACATTACCCAGCGATAACTGATTAATTTCGTTTAACAAAAACTGATCAAAGTGCGTTTTCGTAAAGCTCTGTTTTCAAAATGTTTTCCCTTCGCGTTTAGACCCAACAGCGGGTAAAATTTATCCACTTTGGAGAACATTTTCGTAAATACAGTTTTGAGCGAAATCATATGCACCCGTTAAGGGACATCATTGATAATTATTTCCGTTAACATGAGATTTTTGTTGAAATAGATAACTTTTCCCCCACGTAAAATATTACTCAGCGATAACTGATGAATTTCGTTTGAAAAAAATTGTTTGCACATGTTCGTAAAGCTTTGTTTTCAAAATGTTTTCCCTTCGAGTTTAGACCCAACAGCGGGTAAAATTCATTCACTTTGGAGAACATTTTCGTAAATACAGTTTTGAGCGAAAAATTTATTCGGAGAAGTATGGACGAAGGCCCGATCGTTTAAGTTTTGAATTTATCCTTTGTAGTACGGACATGACAGGGCCTAAGAAGACACCTCATATCTTCCTAACAAAGAGTCCCCTACTGCCAAAGAAGTAATGCGGAATATATCTAGTACCGATGGGCAGTTTCCCAACCCGCATTTCTTACCCAGAATCCACAATATGAAATACACTCTACAGTTACAAAATATGACGGAATTTTTTAACGAAGCTCAAAACTGTTCACAATGAATTTAGGCTAATGTAATATGCAATGTGCCCTCCCCTAAGAGTGGTAAAGTGACAGGCGGAAAATTTAGATTGCGCTGAAAAGAGGAAAATTGTAGAGTTTCCGTTGATTCTTGGAACACAGGAATTTTATTCAAAAAAGGCCTTGGCGAAAACAGGAAGAAGAAAATTAGAAGACTTAATCCATGAATGCATTTCGTCTATAATCTTAATCCGACAGCGCCAGCGCTGATCAGTTTCCTATTTAGAATGCGTGTTCACATTCTCCTCGTTCCTCGTTCCTCTTTCCACGCGCGAACTCGCTCCAGTTTTCGCCACGAAATTGCAAAAGAAAACTTTTTTTTTTCAATAGTCGTCTTACAAATTTGAAATTAAATTCAAGATAATGAATTAACATGGTGTAACTCGTTATACCAAAAACTTACTGCGTTGGGTCTGATTAGTGTACGACAGCATTCTATTAGTTTCAGCTGTATTTCCTTTTGTTCCTCGTTCAATATCCATTGTGGATCGTACTGCCAATTCATTCCCCAGAAATCCTTTCCATTGCCCCAATTTTTCGTAGAAAGCAATGCCATCTAGTAGCTCGTACAGTGCACCAGACCTAGATTTGAATACTGTTGATGTTGTAGTCTCGATGACGAAAACTATCTGATAAACTTGAGACAGGAGAAGGATTATATACTATATCTGTTGACACTGAGCAATTGACCTTTTGTCGCGGAGACATGAATGATTTCACGTAGACATTTACGTTGAATTAATAACTTGTTTTTTTAACGATCTCAAGTCTTACAGGAAGTAGAAATATATGGAAAACGTCACGCTATTTGCAGGAAGTCGACTATCCGCAAATTCCTAAATGACACGAGTAAAAGTGTTTGACACAGTAATAAAAATTATCAGTTGAAATTTAGTTTGACTGATTTTCGACAAACTTAAGAGCATACGTATATTTTATGACTGGGTCTTTCTTTATCTCCTTCGGTTTTTAATACATCATCGGCCTTGTTAAAAAATAGACAATAGAACCCCTCGTTAACTCGATTAAGACCGGATTTAAAGATTTTATATTTCCTCATTTTCTGGCCATTTACTATCAGCTACCTCGAAATTTCCATTAGTTCGAGTTAATTCTACTTTCCCTTGGCTCAAATGTACCCTGATAACTCGAAACTTTAAGTACAAACGTCGTTCGATAAACGTCGAAGTGTCAGAACATAGCTGATTGACAGTTTCCACTCTTTCCTAATCGCGAATGGTAAAAACGTGATATGAAAACGTGAGCTATTTACAAGGCAAAAATATGTTTTAAAAGTCAAAACTAGACGTTTTTGATCATCATCAGGGTAAATAAGCGGCGTCTGCTAAATTGCATGTTTTATATTCCTCGGTAATTCCCGACGAAAAAATTTCTGCAACATAGGAGCTAATTTGTCTCTTGACATAGGCTTCAAATGTTTGCTAATTAGGCCTTCAAGGATTTTGCCCATATAAAAGGATAAAAGAACGCTAAGGATTATCCCACCGGATGTGACGGACAGGTCCAGGGTCTGTCAATAGATGTGTTTATGAAAATATGGTACATTTAGCTCATTGAACTTCCCAAACTAAACGTTCTTATTAAAAATAAGCTCTTATAGAAGAGACCAAATGTATGAAAATTAATTTTGATGTTACAAGGATGGTAAAAACATGAATCCGTATTAATAACAGACGGGAAATTGAAATTCAACTCTAATCCTGATAATCTTGAACCCTCGATAACTCGAACCAATTCCCGTTTCCTTGGGAAGTTCGAGGAAGCGGATTTCTACCGAAGAGAAAATCACACCATTAGATCGTTGCACTAGTTGCTGCTGTAAAATTTCTACACTATATCGCTGTTTTATCAGTTTAAACTTTGTCTTCTCGTTTGATTTTTAAATACTCTGTTTAATCTTTGATTTCACCTTGTCCTAGGATCTAAACATGTATTTCCGCTCCGGAAGTCTGAGCCACTTGCAACATATAAAAACTAAAGTATAATTAATCAACAAATATTAACTACAACGCATGTAGAAGAATGCTGGTTTGGCCAGCTGGTAAAAAACACGAAAAAAAACACATTAGTTCTATCATGTATCAGTCTCTGCTTTTATACAATACACTCGCTCAATGACATCGTCAAGATCACAACTTTGTTGCTACAAGAGGTTAGGTTTACCCTTGCTTTGAAAATTTGTATTTGTTCCTTTTCATTCCTTCACGTTGGGACAAAAAAATTAATATTTCCGAAAAAATATGAAATGGCAAAAATTTCCACCTATAGGATTTACTTGTTGATTCAGGTTACAGTAATCGTGAAAAAATTTGTTAATACATGTGTTCCGCTTTTTGGAATTAAGGAAATTCGTGTGACCTGGATCAATCACATATCACTTTCTTGCATGACCAAACCTCAATTTCTCACTGCATTAATTTGGAAAAACACCAACAGAAAGAGATTCTAAAAAATAGTAGGTCAGCTGTCTTGAATAATGCGAATCATCAGTTAGAAAATGCTTCTGAAACATTAGATCACGGTCAAAAATCTCCAATGTTGTTGGCAGCAAATTCTTTGTGTAGATGAGGAACTTCAGCTGATGCAAAAAACTCTGTAAGATGGGGCATGCGTAAACTGATCATGATCTAGACCGATGATTTTTTCGCCTTATATCATCTATTTTCCCCACTATCAAATCGGCTGGTCGCTTGTGGCAGATTGAAGAATCATGAGCGAAGAAAAGAAAAAGAGAAACCAGAAGCTCCTGGAGAAACTCAGATTATTTGCGTCAACATCACATGACATCACGCTTTGTGACTGATTGACCTTCCACGATCGGGGATCGATTATGAATCATTCTGAACTTTTCTTTTCTTGGCATCTGCCTAAATGATTCTCTCCGCACCTACACGCAAATGAAAGTAGTCGATGAATTAAAAAAATAAATAAATAAATAAATATATATATGAAAAAGCCATGCAAGTTAATCGCACAACTGCGTTGCTAGAAATGTACGAGATTGACTGGGAATGAGTCTCCCCAGCTCCCACTCCTACTGGTGCACGTGTAATGGCGGCCAGATTTGAGTTCTTATTAATAGTTTCGGAGAGTTTCGGAGTATAGTTGTCGAGATTACCGCCATATTTGGACACGATGCCTGTCACAACAAAAAGAGAAATTTCTACTAATACCCTAGAATGGATTGGTAATGGCACTATAGACGATGGAAAAGTATTTTACAGGTAATGTCAGATATGTTTTCGATCGCTCGCAGAAAGATCAAAATTCTTACTGTTTCGTATAAACGTACGACAGTTTAGAGTCAAATCTAACCTTGTAACTTCTTAAATCTTCCTCTCTATTTCTCTCTGTTCATCAGCCAATGCAAAGTTAACGGAATCCTGATCAAGTGTGGAGATGATGTGGTTATACTCGGACGCACGGGGCGGCGTTCCATTGCACATGTACAGAAGTTATATGAAATTGAGGAATCTAAAGATCCCAACAGAGCTATAGTACAGTGGTATTACACTTATGGTGAAATCTCAGAACTCAAAGGGAAGAAACCTGCTGATATCCCAAAATCTTGGACAGAATTATTGCTACCAAGTGAGGATTGTTGTAGTTCTAGAGATGATCATATTAAAGCTGAAGATATACGGAGAAAGTGCAATGTTGTAAAGTTAAAACCGCAAGATGAAGTTCCAGATTATTTACAAAGTTCTTATCGAGACGGTCTTTATTATATTCGCTTTAAATTTGACCAGAATTACAACCTTTATCCTGTTAATAAAAGGCTTTCCAGGAAGTCTACATCAAACACAGAACAGACTATAGAAAGAGGGATAAATCATGTCAGAACTCCAAAGCAAACCCCAAGGAAGCCAAATAACACTGCAAAAACACCAAAAGCAAAAAAGACGCCAGCTAAAGAAAAGGGTAAGCAAGGAGCTGATATCTAACAATTTTGTTATGAGGTTGAGTACAGGGAAATGTCATTTAGATTAGGTTAAACCCTAGATAATGGTGGCCAGCTTTCTAAGGCATTTTTTCAGTACATAATTAGGTCTGTACTGCTCTGTTTGATGCCAAGCCATTTTTGATTTTGTTGCCTCTGTCACTCACTTGGCTTCAGCCTTTGTGCCCCTGTCCCTCCCCTCCCACTAAGATCTTCAGTCAACAGAGCCTAGTGGTGGCCTTTCACAGTGTTGTCTTGGTTACCTTTCCCACTTCCTTATGGCTCCAATAGACTCTCCAGGCACCTTCCCCTCACTCATCAATTAATTACAAGTTTTAGCATTGTAGTGCAAATTTTCATGGCCAGGATTTGTATAAATTTATTTTTTCTTCCAAAGCTCAAGGCAGCCAACCACTAATCAGAGTCAAATATCCTATTATTTTAGGGAGCTTAGGGAGATTCCAAGGGAATGGAATGGGCTAGCCAACAGTAACAAGAACACTATAGAAATTAACAGTTTTAAACAGATACTTTACAATAATGTGTTTCATACGAAATAATTTTGAATATATTTTGAATTTCACTAAATTACTGTAAATAAGTTAGTTTTCTTAATTACCAGTGCTATGTAATAGTTAAAATTGTAACTGAAAAGCCCTGTTGAAGGGAGTCTTGATAAAGTATGTATGTATTCCCATCTTTGAATATGGCTGTATCCCTCACCACTTATTGTGTTTCAACATTCATTGTAGTTGCAGATAATTCCACTTCGAAGACAAACAAGAAGACTCCCAGGAGTACAAAGAAATTAACAATTGAAAAAAAGTGCATGGTGTCTATTGAGCCATTGATCTTTGATAGAGACACTGGAACTTCTTTAAAAAGAAGAGCAAGCCGCAGTGTTCCAGATGAATCTGCAGTGACACCTAAAAGAACAAAGGGTTCCAAAAGTACAAGAAAAACAAAAGAACAAGTTATGTCTCCAAGGCAGAGATATGGTATGTTTTTTTATATATTGCTATTGAGGATAGTTCATGGTTGGTAGATCTGTGACTTTCTGTGGTGCTGAAACCTGGGCTTAAAAATCTTAGACCTTGTTGCAAAAATTTTCAGATGCTAAGATGCACAGGAGGATATAAATGAGCGCTGTTTGAGATGGAGAGATTTCAAGACCCCTAACCTTATTTTAGTCACTGCTTTATTTACCACTTCAACTTATTATTTGGTTAATTTGGTGTTTCAAAAAAAATAATTGAATATAGACTCAGAGTGGGAGGAATATTTGTCAAGATAGAGGGATGAATTATATGGATGGGTGGGGTGGCTGAGAGATAGGGTATTTGCAAAGATGTAATCAGATCCATGGCCTCCAACTCCTATGTCTGTTTGACTCTATGTGTAATATCTTTGATTATAAAAGCTTAGTGTGTATATCTCTTTATAGGTACAGCAGAAGTCTTAGAGCAAGTGCTTGAGAGTGAGTCAAGATGTAGTGATGACCAGGATGATGATGATGATGATGATAATGATGACAACGTCAGTGATGATGATGATGATGATGATGATGATGATGATGTGTTTCATCCAAGTGATGTTAGTGATTTATCAGATGGCAATGATGGTGACGATGATGATGATGAAGATAATGATTGGGTTGTGGAAAAG